AATGAATTGCCCGTAATAATCGCCAATCTACCCGTTCCAGGTCGAAAGAGTTTATGCGATTTGACCGAGCTTCCATGGAGGACTATTGGATGTGGCATTTAGAAAAGATATCAGCACCTGTTAGCTTAGCTACGTGAACACCGCGGAAGATTTGCCCAGGGGGTCGATAACAAAAAGTGGCAAGATGCACAAATCAGTTGCACTGACTACGATCGTAGAAGTATTAACTAGAAACTGAATCTTTGACCCACAAACAAAGAAATTACCTATACAATGTACATGCACTTGTTATAGCATCTCTAGAATGAAGGAGTTACGGTGGAAGCAACTTCTACGATCAGCAGTACACGGTAATAGTCATTTCTTCATGTTCCGCCGATATGGCCATGCTGCTGCATTGACTTCGTCTAGCATGGAGGTGAGACACGCGGGGGGCGGGGGGGGGGGGGGGTGAAGCTGCAATACAGTTGGCACCTCTGGGCACAGGGAGTAACGTTTCACAACCTCGCGACGCTCGACTCCAGACTCTGCTGTGTGACGGGGACCCACACCCTGATCTGGGTGTTCATTAGCCATTGCTAAGGAAGGGTTAGACTCGCTATGGACAAAGACAGCTACTGGCTAACTGCACGATGAGAATAGGAGGACGACAAGACGGATGCACAGCATGACGTGACAGTGTTGATAACACAGAATGTTGTTCATGATCGCAAGCCATGCCATTGTTACGTTCAATAATACTCCTGAGCACATCGTTAACGTTATCACAATGGGTGCAGTCAGACGCAGAGCAGTCGAAGCCGCTACTACCATAGCATCTCACTGATGAACATCGAAAGGAAATTTGTTTGACAGTACATTATTGAAGTCATGATACCGAATGACTTTCTTGAAGATCTGTAAACACATCACTCTTGAGTCTTCTGACTAGATACAATGATCGAGGCGTTGATTATAATTATTATGTTTTAGCTGCCCAAGCTAGCATCCAGAGTGGACAAGATCCCACGGACACTAACGCAAGAAACGAAGGAAAAATTACTCTGGGCTTGAGTGATAGTATACTCACTCTAACGTTAGAGAAAAGTTCTGATTCTAAAGGTAAACAAATCGGAAGTGACACATGTAGCAGCTTGCGCCCATGTGCAATGTACGATATCTATATGACGACCACAAAGGACGAAACAGTTCTGTCTGCAGATTGAGTATGATGATTATATACAAAAGTACTTGACCTCGTGAGGTGACCTGTATGTTATGATGCGTGTCGATGCCGATCGCGAAGCCTATGTGTTTGCGTTGTGTGCGTTGCTTGCGTGTGTGCGTATGTGTGTATGTATGTAAACAGTATACGTTCGTGACTCCGCGCGCGTGTGTGTATGTGTGTGTACCAGAGAAACCTTCATTCGTGCACTGCACAACTGTCCAGAAATACACTGCTCTCTCGCTCGTGGACAGTATCTATAAATATACCTATGCTCTAACACGAACACTACAGGCTACTCCCCTTGCCTTCTGACTGTTCTGCGAGATCTCACTTGGAGGCAAGTATAAATGGCAGTATACTTATGTTCACTGGTTTGAGGAAAAGAGACAAACGGGAAATGTCTGAAGAAAAAATTGACTGTCACCACCAGGACTCGAACCAGGGACCCTCGCTCGTAGCCAGCGATGCTCTAACCACTGAGCTATGGTGTAGTCGTCATCCCAGCAGAGACCGTTCAGCATCTTCTTCAGACTCGCAGGATATGTGATGGTGATTTGGAGAAGTCACACCATCCAAAGCTAGTTTGCAGTTCTCGCTGCCCGTTTATCCTTGATCAGCGGAAAGAGCGAAGACCTTGCGATATCCTCCAGCTAAAACCTTGTGATGACTTCCTGCAATACCGTGGGTACGTCTCGCAGTCACAAGCTGTGTTTTCTCGAGAAGTTATCGATTGTCTTGGTGTATTTATCGGTGCAATAACGTTTCCACGCAGGCCACGGGCTGTTACATGTACATGTACACGTGTACTGGTAACGTTAAGAACGTGTAACTGAAAGTTTTACTGAACCTCATTCGAACTCCAGAAACTAGACACGGTACATCACAATCTGTGTTTTCTCGGGGAGTTATCGATTGTCTTGGTGGATTTATCGGTGCAATAACGCTTCCACTCAGGCCACAGGCTGTTACATGTACTGGTGAGAATGTGGAATTAATATTTTTCCTGAACCTCATTCGAACTCAAGAAGCCATCACAATCTGTGTTTTCTCGGGGAGTTATCGATTGTCTGGGTGGATTTATCGGTGCAATAACGCTTCCACTCAGGCCACAGGCTGTTACATGTACTGGTGAGAATGTGGAATTAATATTTTTCCTGAACCTCATTCGAACTCAAGAAGCCATCACAATCTGTGTTTTCTCGGGGAGTTATCGATTGTCTGGGTGGATTTATCGGTGCAATAACGTTTCCACTCAGGCCACAGGCTGTCACATGTACTGGTGAGAATGTGGAACTGATTGTTTTACTGAAACTCATTCGAACTCCAGAAACTAGACGCAGTACATCACAATCTGTGTTTTCTCGGGGAGTTATCGATTGTCTGGGCGTATTGATCGGTGCAATAACGTTTCCACGCAAGCCAACGACTGCTACCGGTAAGAATGTGAAGCTGGTACATATATTTTGACTGGACCTCATTCGAAATCCAGAAACCAGATGTAACAGAGTCGAACGGGCAGTAGCGAGGGAATGAATTCGTGGTCATTCCAACCCCTTACTCTATCGATTTGGTAAATGCTTGATGGATGTTTTTAAATCCATGAAAAGTACCCAAGCCTACATTGTACAGTACATACCGGTAGAGTGGGGAACAGCAGCAACCGCAAAAGAACATATATGTACATGTACATGTACCTGTAGTGGACAACAAAGGGCATGTTGGTACTATAGCTGTGCAGGTGAGGTGATTGCCTGCCCCGACCAATGCTAATGGTCTCGAGATGTGGCCGATTGTCTTTGGTTCACTCATAGCCTGGTCTTGGCACATGTACATGTACGAGTAACTGTGATCCCATTTCCGAGAGCATTAAAATTCTTTGATAGATAATAGAAACGTTTGCATGTTGTGGTCGCGCTCACCGCAATCAATCCTTGTTCAAGATTCACATGTTCGATGTAAATGTCCGCGTGATGATACACTGAAACATTTACAACATTGTATCCACGTGCCACGGCTTAGCGCCATGGCTGGAGAGCAATACTGCCAATAGTAAAAAAAAGTATGGACAATGTCCACGGATACAGCCGCCTGTGTCCATTCGCGGTGGTTTATCGTGTCGGAAATCGTGTTAGCCTTCGGCGAATCATCCATGTGTGTCCGCTGCCCCTGCCTCTGGCCATGTAACATTGTTTTAGCATTTCAACACGTTCAAGAAGGCTAGCGCAACGGCATGAAGGAGTGAATGTTCACGTGTATAATATACATATGACTGATGCATATACATTTGCATATACATATGACTGACTGATATAATTATATACATGTGTCTAGAGAAGGTGTAGTGTAGTAAACGCAGACCCATGTACATGTATGTGCACGTAACGGCAACGTTACAAGACCATTCACGCGGAGAGCGTCATGATTGTTGGCTGTGACTCGGGGGGGGGGGGGATCTACCAAACAGATAAGAGCACATTTCACCCGCATTCATACGAAGTTAGTCTACTGCTGCGATCGTGGCCAATTCGGTCTAAACTATTCGATGCATCGATCTTGTGGTAACCCACAATTGCAGGTAATATCCAAATGGAACAGACAATCACAGTTGAAGCGTAGATGAAGCGTTTGTTGTTTACTTTCAGTTGTCTTCATACTTTATTGAGCCCAAGGACCTTTCAAAAGGTACCTCGTACTCTAGAGCAATGACGCCTACATCCCATCGAGCTTGTAAGTGTAATTCCATTATTATAGTTATGATTTTCTTGCGCTGCGTATAAATTGGACTTCTCTTCATATCTTGCTCCTCCTCTCTCACTCCCTCACTCATTCCTCTTTTACGGGCAAATTAACACAATGGTTTAAAATGCAATAAATCATACACAAGAGAAGAAATCAGAACTCATTCCCTCCCTCTCGCATTACGTGTATTTCGCAGTATTCGTGCAATTTCAACTTTATCTTCAACTTCCAAATGGGGAATTAGCGAAGATCTAAGGAAGCGCAGCAATCGGACGGCGATAGCTTTCAGACCAACCCGATCACTTGGGATTTGCTGAATAGTCACATACACATGCATTGTAATTTGTACGTGTAGCTGTTGCTTACCAGGACATGCGTTGCAGGATCTTGATCCCTCGCTCATGCAACCTCTGCACATACGACATGCACGTGCGCTGCTACCCTGGGCCTTTAATCTGTGAAGTGCACAGTCACCTGTTTCGGGATCTTTGCTGCAGCTCCACAGCGCGGTCGCAAGACCGGGAAATTGATCTGTCGGTCGGCGGATTGCACCGGCAAACCTTGTAGAGAAGCTCTTCGCACGGGCAATCCTCCTCACGTTCTCATTTCAGGCAGAGACTTCAGGTTTCCCTCTGCAGACAGCGACACTACCGACTCGGCCTCTACTCACGTACAGGGTCAGGGCTGCACAACGCATGGAGAAGCCGGTGCCGCAATATCATAATCTGAAGAACGGGTGGTGAAAGTTTTGGCCGCAGGCTCACCACTGCTAGCGCTTTCTAACAATCAGATTTCTCCCAGAAGAAGCTGATGTGATGGCTGTCAATTCACCCAGAAGTGCAACTCTGTTGTCTGGACTGGGAGAAAACAAAGCTTGACATCACGTGAGCGCTGTGCATGCCTTTCAGCAAAGTACCGTGAACGGCCATCCGTCGAATCACTCTTTGTCAGTCTGGTAGCTGAGCTCATGAGAGAGTTGCGCATGCCGTGACAGGAGCTCTTTGCCCGGTCGTCGACGCCAAAAGGTCCAGTTATCGTTGCTGAATTGCCAGGCGGTCGCCTGTTGGCCAGGCGCGTTGCGCGCGTGTACATGTATGTCTGAACGCCACGTCTTCGACGAAACGCGCACTGGTCACTAGCATGCGCTGCGGGCTCTCTGAGAGGTTTGGGTTCAGTTCTCGTATGGCCGATATCCAGCCACTTAGTGTGTCTGTGCTGTCCATGGATGTACACCGCAGAACTCTTTCACCAAGACTCAAAAGCAGGTAGCGGACCAAGGTACAGTAACGCGGTACTAATACCACAGACTGAGACACTTGCAATACCTGGGCCGCGCTAGCTTGGCGATAAGATTAGTTTATCACAGTGTGCAGTGCAAACCACGACGCGTGGTTACGGCTGCGAGCAGTGTACCCGCCGTGTAGTTTTCACAAACACTCCAACTCTATTCATACCAAATAGCAGTTACAAAACCATTCCCTATTAAATTTTGTCGTGCTACGCTTGTCTTCTGTGCATTCAGGATGCGCTTTGACCAGTACTGGCAGTAGTGACCTGCAGGAGTGAGTAGGCAACACGTAAGCCAGCTCACAACCGACGGCAGAGAGTATAAGACGGCGCGTCGTTCCTCTCCATCCCTGTGGAGTTAGTTAGCAGTTTCAGTGCACGTTCGACATCGATAGCCTACCTCTAAGTGTGCAGTATTACTGTTAGTCCTGAAGATGGAAGTAGCGATACAAAATCACCAGCATACTCGCCCTGATATACCGCACACCAACCGTCATCATCACCACCATCACCACAGTCGTCAACGTCAGCAGAACAAACCTCACAACCACCACAACCACCACCACCACCAGCAGCAAGATCAGGTGGAGAAGCGTACAGCGCCCACCGTCCAGGTCTTCCTACCGACACGGAAGTTCACCGCGCCTCGGACCCCAGACAATGGCGTGTACCCCGACGAAGGTAAGGCCTGATACCAAGGGTACATAATGTACTCTTGCTTATACGGATGCCCTCTTGTGTAAGTTATACCTTGTCTGTGATTTGTAGGTCCGTGGGTAGGTCGTTCTTGATCGATCATGAACACGCACTTTCGGTTTCGACATCACCTTTTCTGTTCTGTTGGGCGGAAAAATTATGAACGGCGTACATGTACATGGCCATGTCATGTATTGTGTATGTACGTGTATGCTACCAGTGGTATCGCCAACAAACTACTTCCGTCACCACGCATGCACATGTACCTGTACCTGTCGAGACTATCTGCAGGCGATGGCATGACTGGAATACCGCCCCGTGGGCGTATGCATAATAATTGTCATGTAGATCTACGCACAGAACAAAGTATTATTACTAAGTCTTTTATTAGTTATCAGTAGTACCAAGAGTGCATGTTTTTGGTACTACGACAGCTGTGCGACCTTGGAGCGTCAGCTGTTTCACAAGACCCACTTCACTGTTTGTTAGCTTCATTGACCGATGAGGAACATAATTGTACCTACCTGACGGATATAAGCGACAAGATGTTCGGATTACACCATATAGCTTAGTGGTAGAGCATAATGGAGGGTCCCTGGTTCGAGTCCTGCTGGTGGGCCTGGTGGCAGTCCATGTTTTCTTCAGACTTCTCCCGTTTCGACTCTCCCAAACCTGTAATATGTTTGGATATTGCGCTCCGTTGACATTTGTAGAGCAGTTTATGCCTGCATATCCCTAACAGATTCGAGATGACAAGCTGCCCGGCGATATATTGTAGAGTGATATGGAAGACCGCTTTCACAGTCAAAACCTTTTTCGGACGAACACCAAGGGATCGGTGGGGTTTGCTATCTTGTCTTAGGGATTCCCCAAAGGTTTCTCGGCTGTCGAGAGGGTCTCCACTATACCAAAGAAGTGTCAAGTTAGAAATACAACTTGAGTTTCGAGGTCTGACGAAAATGTTGAACGGTCGCTGCTGGGATGACAACTACACCATAGCTTAGTGGTAAAGCATCAATGACCTAGATTCGAGGCGAGGGTCCGGCCCTGGTTCGAGTCCTGGTGATGACAGTAAATTCTTTTCTTCAACTTTCCCCCCTTTTCTACTCCCTCAAACTTATAGAGGCATGCTAAACTGGCAAACAATAGATGATAAAGGAGGGGGGGGGAGTGGAATAGTGCAGAGAGCGATTGTTCGCACTTGCCGTGGAGTGCTTCTTATCCGCCTTTTCCTGCCCGGTGACTGGATGATTACCCGACCAATAGATAGACTTTACGACTGCAGTGCGTCTCCGGAGTCTGAAGGACCTGGAGACACTGCGTTTGGTGGCTCGGAACAGGCAATCATTCAACGATATAATCGCACAGGTCACATTGTAGAGTGCAGATCACCTAGTGCTTTCAACAATAATAACGTACTTCCACATTATGGGAATTTGGTATAACCCCACACCCGTCATTGTTGAATATTCGATAATAGCGTGGATTTCCCCAACAATAATTATATTTTCATTTTTTGTTATCCTCTCCCATGCCGTTGTACATAAGCGGCTTGCCGCGGATATGTCAATACTACTACTACTACTACTGCTACGGTAGTTCCTCTAAAGCGAAAGTATGTCCTGGCCAAGTTCTCTGTATTATTATTCTGTTTCCAAGGAGAACTGAGCCCTACCAAGACGCTTGCGCAAAATTTCACGACTGTCGCACTAGATTAAATCCAGCTAGTGCAAGGGTCTTCTCAGGGACAGGGTTCGTTTTGTTCACACGTATTTTGTGTATGCATCCACTCGTCTCTGGCGAGTAATCGTTCTACACTACAATACAATCTGCATTTCTCAAGGTATGCAGCAGGCGGTAAACACTAAACCAGGAGGGCAAACCGGTCTGTACCTTCTAGTCGAATCAAGAACATTCCGACGCACCGGCGAGCGTAGAATTCCAACGTGTATGCGACGGCAAAGCCTGTCAATGAGAATTGGCAGCCCTACCTAATACATTAATAGCAGAGTTGTCAAATCGGATTGCGACTGATCGTTGCTAGTACATACAGGGCACGGGGATTTTTAACAACATTGATTCGTTGTACCTGCAATTCGTGCAAATCAATACCTGCTTCCGCCATAATCTGCTCACGTCCAGTTCTGGCTGGGACTGGAATCCTCACAGCAAGGGAGTGCCAGAAATACCTCCATGCCTCAGCAGTTCTCTCTCTCTCTCTCTACTCGTTACCGAATATTATGTTCACAAGACGGCTTGTCACGTCGCATTGTGTTCAGTTAGTGCATGGCGCGCGGCCATTCTATTTGGTAGGATTCGATTAGCAGCATTACAACTAGTCCAAGCGGAGCGTAGTTCCCGCATCGCATGAGCTCAATGACAGTCTGAGACTATGGTTCTGCCGCATTGAAAGCACAGCCCCGAGCTGTTGCCCATGACCAGCTGAGCAACACGCAGCCAACTGGCCATGTTCCACTACATGTAGTTCGAGCCATTGCTACAACTTTACAAGTCAACTATCCTCTCCGCTCAAAATGCAGTGCAGCCCTGCATCGTAGGCCTACTTGCACGCAGGGAAACTAGCATAAGATCCACCGGGATGCACCCATTGTGCTGGCTAGTTTGTCTCCTTTGCTACCGCCAAATGTACCCAGACCTGAGCTGAAACGCAAAGGTTGTGTTGTTGTTGTCTTTGCTTCGATTCGAGCAGATTCTCCCGACTTCCCCAGTCCACCATCGTTCGTGGATAACTTCAAGGAGGAGGCTAGGAACGACCAACCTGGGAAGATCAACAACCTGGAGCTGTCGGACAGTAGTCACTCGCTGGACAACCACGAACAAGACGCCGATATCTTGTGCCTGGATAAAGAGAAGCCGTCCAGCAAGAAGTGTCGGCCTAACCCGTTCTCTAATGACAACGAGCTCCTGTCAGATAACGTCACTCCACTGATCCTGGCTGGTGTCAGAGACAAGCTGATGAAAATGAAGCTCAACCACGAGTTGCCTTCCGAGTCCTCCTCGCTTGGCGAGTTCAGCGCCGACACGAACTCAGGTAAGCGTCTGGATGCAAACAATGAGATGAACCGTCCTCGGTCAGGGGTCATGAGTGCGCTGACCTTTGCTCGCACTCGACCTCGCTGACCCTTGCCTTTACTAGTTCTGTTTTACTCGCACTCGCACTCGCTGAAATATAGTCGGCGCGGTGCATGCGTGCGCGGTGCGTTCAGTTGCTGTGGGCTGATCTCAGGGCAGCGTTTGAGTATGGGCGGCAGACGTGTTGAAGAGAACGTTTCTGAAGGGAACCGTGCTTAGTTCAATAGGACAGGTGCATGCTGGCCCGTGCTTTGTCCTAGCGCCAGTTGTTACTCAGCTGTCATGAAGAATGCATGGACACTCACATACGGGAAGATGGCATGTATTCACAGTGCAATTATCCTACCTTTATTTTGAGTTCCATGTGTTGAGATAATTATTGGAGTGTGTAGTGCATCTGCAATGTCATGCATAGCATTCCATCACACGTAAGACCAATGCTGGCAACTTGGGGTTGAAGTGGAGGGAAGACGGTAGCCTCCAGAGGCAGTCTCAGCCTGGTCACTATGCTGCTCATGTGTAGCAGTACATACATGTACAAGAGCACGGACAGTAAACCCCTTGACAAGGCTTGAGTGTACCTGGACCTGTACATGTACACGGGAAGACATTTTGAAAGTCCCTTGAGTAGGCATTTTGGACTGTTTCTCTGTTATGGTGTGTATTGTTCTAAAATGAATGTGCATGTATCACATGTGTGTGTGTGTGTGTGTGTGTGTGTGTGTGTGTGTGTGTGTGTGTGTGTGTATGCATGTGTGTGTGTCTATATATCTGTTTGCACACATCAAACAATCACAGTAGGAGACCATGGTGACAGCACTGACAGTCCGGTGTTCGCGGAGCGCCACTCGGAGCCTCGGCCGTCCGTCGTCTACCAAGCCGCACCCGGCGTCTTTCTCTCCATGCCGACAGCGAAGAAGAGCTCCCAGCCAGCACCATCGAAGTCTCCCATGTCCGACCCGTCGACCATCTCCACACGCCGAGAAAGCACTGGCGGTGGTGTGTTCATCACCGGCCTCAGCGACAAGTTCATGCCGGCGCCGCAGCCGGCATTTCGCAAGACGCCGTCACCTCTCCCGCAGCTAACCGAGGGAAAGGTGGCGAAGACGGAGCGCAATGAACACAGCAACAAGCAGTCCGCAAAGGACAACGGAATTGCAAGAAATAGTAAGCACATCACAGTTTTACTCTGCTTTGAATTGTTTTAGAAATGGACTTTAAAACACCATGGTGCTGATCAGTGAAATCCGATAGTGTGGATCACGTTTACGCCCGCACCAGTTCATTTCCGTTTGTTTGTTTTTGACTTATTGTACTTCAAGTAGTTCGTTGCCTCAACAGTACAATGTGCAACTTCAAAGAGGGTCAAACGGAAATTAAAATAACTGAGGATCATTAGTTCACATCCCAATGTCTGCAGGTCTAGGGCTGCGCAGCGCCGGGCCGGCGTAGCATTCACTCGCTTGATCGGATTTCATTGAGCAGCACTCTCGTATTTCATTGTAACAAGGTACAACCATTTTCTCATCTCTCAAACTATTCTCTTCAAGCCAAGAACAAATACAGTATTGTTAACCAGAACGTTTTCTTGATCAACTGATCTTTATCAAATTGTCAATTGTCTCCACGCTGTTTATTTACATAGTGGTTTCTTTTGCTCATTGCTGTGCTTTTCAGGCAAGTCTCCGAGTCTAGGTGACATCAACGAGAAGCCTGGATCAAATGTGTTTGTGTCAATGCCGAGGAGTTCGAAAGCCAACTCCCTGCCGAGAATGCCAAGACGCTACTCCATGCCTAGCTTTCCACAACAGCTCACGAGTCCGGGAATGTCAACATTCATATCTCTCGGGCAGAGTCGGGAAGATTTAGCAACTGGTAAGGATCGATTAGTAGATACGCCTCTTGTTCAGGCAAAATGAATTGCATACTATCATCAAACCAACTCATGTATGAATGCAGTAAACTATAAAAAAATCAATTCAAATACTAGCAAATCAATTGGAACACAAAGGAAAAAAACGTCAGTGCCGTCGGTCAGTGTCGTGCAATGTTATCGCATGAGCTGATTGTTTAGAAACTGGTGGTGTTAGTGGACAATAGCGTAACTTGTAGTTCCTTGGTCCATTATTCTTTTTGTATAAAGGAAAAAAAAGAAAGTCAAAAGACCGATTAGTTGAATGTCACAATCACAAATGCCCTGCGTCAATGTGAAGTGATATGTGGCTGCTCTATACACCAGTGGGCGCAAAGCCTTTTTATGATACACATCCAGGCTGAGAGCTGGGCAAAGGAAACTGTCTAGCTATGATGCTGAGAGCAGGGAAAATAGAACTGTTTTTTAATACGACTCTGAGCTACATGGAGAATGTGGCCTCCATACAGCGCATTGTGTCGCGTGCACTTCAAGCATGCTCTCTAAGAATAGGGTATGTGCATGCGCAGCTCCAACTGCCCGCCCCAACCTACCCCCATCTTACATCCCCTACCCCCATTCCCCTGACCCCTCCACCTGTGCAATGAATGGTTTGAACCCCGTCACATGACCGCCAAGTTAGTGCCACATTTTCCAGGAGCGGGCACATTTGTCTGGCAATCGCCATATCGAGATACTGTATTTTCCGGAGTATAAGCCGTCCCCAGATTTTGTTACGAAATACAGACATTTACGCTTTACTGTAAGACATGTTATTATAACGAGTCGCAAATTTAACGATTGTCCAAAATTCATAGGTTAACGAGAAGATATGTTAACGATCTTGCAGTATTCTGCCATATCCACACACAGCATATATGAAGCAGTACGGCCTCAACGGATCTTATTATAACGAAGAAATGTCATCCGTTAAAACGTTAGATTTGCTTCCTCGTTATATATACATGTCTTACAGTACTTTGGTTCATTGGACCACCGTAGTATAAGCTTTTTTTGGGTGAATTACGAGTGCTTTTAAAAAGTGCGTAACACTCTTGAAAATACTGTAGAACGGGTAATTTTAGCGACGTAAAAAACCCTAGCGAATTTAGCGATCGACTCATTTTCGCTAAAGTTTCAAGTCGCTAATCCGTTGAGACATTAGTAGTGCACTGGTGATCCGTGAGTACAATGCAGTACTACATCATGGTACATGTAGTACTACCGGTAGCACCACAGTCTACACTATACGGTCTATGTGGTCTACAGTTGCACAGTGTGAACTAGTTACTTACTCACAGCAACATCCACACGACGTCTTGCCAAAATACTACTACTTGTAAATGCATGTACTAGTATTAGTAGTAAATAAATACTGGTACAATTTAGCGAATCTGTTAAATTCGCTAAAATAAAACGTCGCTAACCGGTTGACAAAGGGAAAAACGCTAAAATTGATAGTCGCTAGGATTACCCGTTCTACAGTACGGTACCTCAGTGCTACTCTTGCTGATCGGCATCTCGTCTGTTCTCGTGTTCTTTCGTACACGTTGATGCAATGCATGCAGGAGGCCGCTCATCCTCTCACTCCACACTGGGAAGTGACGTGACGCAGGACAAGCCCTCCTTCAACAAGTCAATGTCTCAACCGGATGGAGACACAGCAAGTACCAGACAATACGGTAAGGCAACAATGGCTGTGATGATGTCGTAGTGTTACTTTACCGCGAACAATCACCTGCATTGATGATGTCATTGTCAGCTTCACCGCAAACCAATGACCTGCATTGACCCGGAATCAAGTTATTCAAACGCAGGTTGCAAAGTAGATGATGGAGAGGTTTAGAGACTTGTACGACGAGTGCGGTGAAACCAACACGAGCTGTTTTCACATTTTCACGTTCCAAATCAGGTGCAGCTGACCGTTGATGCCACTGTGTTTAGACGAGATCATCCCAAACGTTCTAAGTTTGATGCTTTTACCAGCTGCTAAACCTCTCTGGTATCCGAACATTCAGAACTCCTTAATGTACGCCATTATGTGCGAATTTCTTCCATACACGGGACGGGCCATTTGCCACCTCTTACCGCTATGTGTATGGACTACCAGTGCTAGAACTTTGAGCCTGGTTACTGCTAGTAGTCTCTATGGCAATGCTTAAATATTGTACTGTATGGTGCGCTTCGTACTCTTCTTTCTGCAGCACGTTCCGGCAGCCATGGCAGCATATTCAGCCAGACTTCGCCGGTGGCGGAGAACGGATCCGGGTCGCCCGTATTCTTCTCCATGCCGCGGGGCGCCATGCCGCCGCGGGGCCCGGTCGGCTCGCTGCCCCGCGGCACGTCGATGCCCAGCTTCACCACCGCGGCCACGCCGCGCATGAACACGTACACGTCGCTGGGCAAGCGCAGCGCCAGCACCGGTAAGCGGACTTGCCTGTCTCGTGTTCAGCTGTATTTTTAACAGGGGTGGGCATGCGTTGTGGTGGAGGAGTGGGATACTGTAAATACCCAAATTTTCGGTGTCCTTTTTCCGGTACTTTCGGTGCGTCTGTTTCATACCTAAAATTTCAATACACCGAAAAAACACTAACACACATAATACAATAGGGAATTGCTCCTCTGTACCTAAAATTTCTGTTCACCTAACCTGGCCCTTTGCCCTCATACCGAAAATATTGAGCACCTAAAATTTCTGAAACTAGAGTACATCACACATCCATTCACAGGGTATTCGTGTGAAGTAAAGTGAAGTTTGCGCATTGCTGTTACCCCCCCCCCCCCCCACCCCGGCTATACAATTGTGCTGAGAAACACAGCCGTCTTGGGAAGGTTCGCTTGTGCCTGAGGACATCACCACATGCCTGATCGTCCACCTGGTGGTTATTTTGGGAACGGTAGAAAAGAGGCAGGAAATTGCATTGATTTCCACCACTCTTGTGACTCCACACATCTGTTTGGAAAGGCATGCCCCACGTCAAGAAAACCATGCAGTCCAGGTACTAACTTTGACGTTCTCAGGCGACTATAGAACACTATGCTATTCTCTGAGCTCAAACCTGTAGCAATCAGGTCCGTCAGTCACTCCTAGCTCCTCGCTGAAACGATCTAACTAGGTTGGAGCAACTAGCAGTATTGTCAAGTACTATACTTCCTAACTTTTGCATACTGGCAAGTTAAGCGTTGCAGAATTTCCGTAATACATTTGAATTGGCAGACCAAGCAAACTGCTGTATTATACACCATTCAAAGGAATTCGAAGTAAATTGAACCTGAGTTTGGCCCGCAAGTTCTTTTCCGGTATCTTCCTGTTTCTGCATGATGTATTGCCCTCCAAATGCCTTTTTACTATTCTTCGGACTCAACACTATTATCGTATACTAATTTGTATTTTGTAATTTTACTAATACCAATTTGTATACTAATTTGTATACTAATTTTGTGATGTTACTAATACTGATTTGTATACTAATTTCCCGTTTGTGTCTTTCCCTCAAACCAGTGAGTATACTAATTTCTTTCCTTTTGTGGTCGTATGCAGGTGGCAATAATGGGCCTATTGGAAGCAGCTCAGCGTCAACGATGAGCCACGTGACAGCGTCGAAGCCGAAGGAAGAAAGTGAGTTGTAACTGATCATTTGCAGTCGCTATGCGTATCGCTATGAGTAGTCTGGTCAGGAACAGATGGTTGCTGTGGATTGACAAGTGTGTTTTTTTCTCCATCTGGGCTCATTGAACCAGCAGAACATGCAACAAGTGAAACCAGACTGGGTTACCTTTCAGGCTGGGTTGCTTTTTCGGGCCGGGCTGGTTTTTTTAGGCTGGGCTGAGAGGAAGAGGGAGGGGAGAGGGGGAGAGGGAGAGAGGGAGAGGGGGAGAGGGAGAGGGAGCGAGAGAGAGGGAGCAAGAGAGAGAGGGAGCGAGCGAGAAAGAGAGAGAAAGAGAGAGAGAGAGAGAGAGAGAGAGAGAGAGAGAGAGAGATGGAGAGAGAGATGGAGAGAGAGATGGAGCGGGAGGGAGAGAGGGGGAGAGGGAGGGGGAGAGGGAGAGGGAGAGGGAGGGGAGGGGGAGGGGAGGGGGAGAGGGAGCGAGGGAGAGAGGAGACCAGCACCGACCATACTGTGTTAAACCATGACCATCTGCTGCGCGTATGCCTGGACTTGGCTAAGGGCAACCTCGAACCTTTATCTACCTTGCAGGGCCTGAATTGTTGGTCTTCTTGATGTTGATTGGCGGCTTCACAGAGCACAATGTATACTGAATTATATATTTCTCCTGTTTTCTGTTTGCAGAGAAGAGTCGCTGGAAAAGCCTCGACAATGTGTTTTTCCCAAAGAGGGGCAGGAAAAACTCAAGCGCAACATCGACAGAGCACACGTTGGATGAAAGCACCAATGATCCAACGCTGGATCCGGACATGGTGGCTGCAATAGCCGAAGCGCAGCAACTGCGTGAAAACGAGCGTCGTCGAAGTAGCTCCTCCGTCTTCATGGCCATGTCAACAATGGAGAACACCAGCCCAAGGTCAGCTCGACCGCAGCGACAGCAGTCGGCTCGTGAGCTGGGCGGATCGCAGGAAAGGCGCCGCGGCACGCTTCTCCGCCGACGGGCTAGCACGTCAACAGAACCCGTCATGCTGGTATCATTAGGCTGGAAGTAGTAGTACCAGTAGTAGCAGTAATAGTACAGCGAGGCTTGAATAGATGCAACAAGAACGCCGGCATGGTGTTGGTATGCCCGGCACAGCTTTCGTTACTTGAGGTGTATCCCGTTCTGATCACCTCAGTATGAGATTGTAGTCAGGAACAGCTACATGCATTGCAACAATATCAGGGAAGGACCATACCTGCAGTTACGGATTGTAACTGGTCGGTGGTTGATCTGCAACGCACCCCTGCCGACTCCAGCTATCATATTCGTGCAACCATGGGCCTCTCCACTCCTACTGACTCCAGCAAGGACCAGGGATTCAAGTTGGCCGAGAGACCGATGTCTCGCCGTATTTGATACCGCTGATGTAGGCCAACGGTATACCATGTCAAACATGGAAATGGTTGGTCGTGTGTTATGCACGTGGCAAACCCATTATCAGTTTCTGAGCGCCATTGCACCAAACACTACCAAAAGAAATGCTCACAATTTGGCCACTTGATATTTTATTGATTTTTTCCGGAAGACTTTCTTTCTCTCACATCTGTCGCTAAAATACTCACGTATGCGCCTGGCAATGATCACTGCTGGTATCGGTTATTTTCTGCAGATTTGGTTCTCATTTCGATCCCACCGTTGCCGCTCCAGGCAGTACGTGGCATATGACAGTCATAATGACAGGGATGTATTAAAGCTGGTACAATTTCATGTATTATCCAGCGTTTAGGTAACTTATTGCCATGCGGTAGTTGATGGCTGATTTGCCGGGTTAACTTTACTTAAAAGTATATTGGATCCGAATCAGGTCGTTGCATTGTGCTCAGTGCATGATAGTGAGTGTTTTGGATCAAGCCACAAGTAAGTTGTAGCCCAGTGGTCCCTTTATAAATCAGGCACCATTAATTTGTGCTAAGGACATTCTGCTGGATTATGGAGGGTGCTGGATTCACAAATCTGATTTACTGCTGCAATGTGCATGAAGAGGACATTTTCGTTACTGAAAATTGTGCTGGCTTATAAAGTGCTGGAATAGAGCGAGGGATGACTGTACCACTAATTAGCCGACCATGCTCAGACTTGATGTCACTGGGTCAAAGCTTCTGCGCTGAATCAGCAGTTCGCTTCAGTGGCTGTGGTGGATGATCCATCCTGGCCTTGCCCAACATTGCCTAGACACTGCTCCATTTCCTCCTCGTTTTCTTCTCTGTACACTACGACTGCTGCGGTGCGTAAGTATATCATAAGATCCAAACCGCGAAAGTCACCAGGGCTAGATCGTCTGACCAATGACGTTCTAAAGGCCTTGTGTCCGGCAATTGCGTTTCCCCTTTGCCTTATATTTTAATCTTTCGTTTTCAACTGGCATATTTCCATCTGTTTGGAAAACCGCCAAAAGTTATCCCCATATTTAAGAACAAAGGTTCGCCGTCTAACCCTGCCAATTATCGTCCCATTTCACTTCTCAGCTGTGTATCCAAAATATGTGAACGAATTGTCTTTGATCAACTCTACGCTCATGTGAACTCAGCCATCAGTTCAAAACACTCTGGAGTTTCTGTAGAGGTGATTCCACTATCCTTCAACTTAGTCGGATCATGCAGGACATTTATTCTTATCGGGACAGAGGACAATATGTAGGGTTATGCTTCTTTGACTTAGCGAAAGCTTTTGACACCGTGTGGCACAGAGGGCCGTTATCTAAGCTCACTGATTCATTTCGTATTGATGGTTTGGCTCTGGAGTGGCTGGCGAATTATCTAACGAACAGGCATCAGATAGTGTCCGTCCTTAATGCTATAGAATACCGGTAATGATGATTTACGAATTTAATGTACAAATGTGCAGTGTAACTATACGGGTACGCTGCAATTATTTCAATTACAAACCTACTGCTTGAAGTTGAACTGCTTGAACTGCTTCAAGAATAATTTCCACCGTGCATACTGCACACTGCTTGAATTTTATGGCAAGCTTGTCCCTGACGTGTAGTGTATATTGTGTACAATCATGTACGAGTAATCGGTGTGTGTTTCCACTACAACTTCACCATAGAGGTTATGCATACTTGAATGCGTCGTAAACGACGCATTCAAGTGCAAAACTTCAAAAGATCGTAACTCAGTCCAATCTCGCTCAAATCCAGTGATCGAAATATCCAGGGCGAAGAGAAAACTCTCACCTGTCGGGAGAAACAATCCGCTAAGCGCTGCGAGCAACGGTTCCTGAGATAAATCACTCCACTGACTCGTAAGTGGAGCCGCGATCGCGGCAATTTTAGGGTTCACGGCTTGCCACTAAAAGCACCCGTCACGTGCGCCTCCATTTTGGATTATGGACGCGCGCTACAGGCCGCGACAGCGCCTATCGAAGTAAAAAAATATCGACTCGAAGTCTAGCCGGAGAGCGTACTTTTTGAATTTTTCCTTGGCTTCAGTGGCTTCACTTCACTCGGGCTTTGCATTTTTCTGACTGACCTGGACTTGATGATGGCGGCGGTGGCGGTCTTGGCGAAAGATCCAGTTCCATCTGAGACACTCTGTCGTCTTTTCTTATCTGCTGAGGTTCTGGCAAAGCGCAGCTGCATCGAACCTGACTAGATGTAGCTGCACGCATCCTTTGTTTGCCCTGCAAATCTCGATCTGTTGCTCTTCTTGCTGTTTGGCCGCTGATGCCATGGAAGAAAATATTCTTCCTGTAAAGAGGCCGAAACTGAGCTAGGGCACGTCAAGATATGTAGGGTATACAAAGAAAAAGAAATGTCATGGTCGTTTCAGCAGCTCACGACAGCCAACACGCTCCATCGTCGGGATTGGAAGCATCCAGCACGGCTGTTCCGAGCGCTGCTGCTCTTGTTATTCTTCTTCAGAAATTCTCCACACCTTGTCGGCCAAAGTACGCGCGCGCGTGCACGGAAAATAGATGCGCTGAGCCGTTTCTTGTTCGATTTTGACAAATAATGGCTTGTTGTTTTGCTCTCGACCTTGGCTATCTTTCTACCGTTCAGTATTTTACGGAAACGCAACGGCTCCCCCTGTTTTTTTAGCCGAACTTTGGCCAAAGTTACTGGAAAACGCGGAACTCGTTTGAAAAAATACGAACGGTGGAAGTCTTGGAACGTCTTTCGTGCGTGTGGATTCAAAAATTCAGGCAGTTTGAGCCAACCGTAATGAATCCCGTAGAGTTGAAAGTGAGTGATATTGATGGGAAAATGCGATTTGAGCACTGACCGATTGTGTGGGACAGTATATGCACGCGCCTGTCACGTGCATGATGTAGCTGGCGACGCTAGCATGCCAATCCGTGAACCCTAAATTTCAAAAGCGCGCAGTGCGACTTTAGTATTGAGAATTTTGAGACTTTTCGTCACGCTGGTTTACTCGAATTTGCACGGGTTTCACTGTTGATATTGTCAAGAGTACACAGCGAAAAAATTGGAACTCCACGATCGAGTAAAATGAAATATCTGGAGCGGGACGCAATTGGACGCATTTGGGGCATTTTTCGTACTGTCGCTGCGATCTAGCGCTGGATAGACGGTGTGCTGGCTATCATGATCGACCTCATTCTCTTCCTCTCGCGGAGACCTTTCCAGGAAGCCCTAGATTGTGAGGATTGAGTGAGTAGAACTGAAGCTATGATCCAAGGAACACGAAAAAATGCAGAATTTTGAAATTTTCCTGTGGCTCTTAAACTGGGAAGTTAAGGCAAAAATTAAAATTTCACCAGTTGTAGTCTTCGGGGTGCTGAGTCGAATAGGGCTTGAAAGTGATGACGTCAAAAACGGCCTGGGAGTAGTAAATTGACATCAGATTTCTATTTTGGATCCACTAAGGTGTGACTTTGCTATTGCCTCAGTATGTGGGTGCATAGCAACCCACTCATGTCGTATGCAGGTGCAACTTTTACTTCGCCACCAGTTGTCACCCCGCCCCCACTAGCCAAATCAGTCAGTTTCACTGGCAACATCACCTTGCTGTGAGTGAGACCGCTTGAAATGTGCTTGGATCCATACAAAAACTGGATCCAGGTGGATCCAGTTTAGGTGGATCCAGTTTTCGAATTTTTCAAATTGTTGCTATGCCATTGCTATGGAGTGACGTAGCACTTTCAAGCCCTATAGTCTTGGTCCGAGAAAGCTGAGACGCTCCCTTCCTACTTGAATCCCAATCGAACTCGCGCACTTCCACCGAAACTGGGTGACTGCGCCCTACTAGATGGGGATTTGTATGCAAAATGTCACTAAAAGCCCCATTTCGTTGTTATAAAAGCACGGATGACCGCGATTGGCCCATATGTTGTAGTCTTTTGGACGCTGAGTCGACTGGTTTTGGTCCGAAAAGGCTGCGATGCAGCGTTCCTCCTTTATTCCCAATCGAACATGGTTGAACAAGCGGTCACGTGCTCCTGGGTGCCCAAATCACCTGGTCACCACGCCAGCAGGCGACAACTTTCACACCAAGGTTCAACTCAAGTGACAGGACTGCACCCAAAAAAGGTCAAACAGGCTAGTAAGTTGTACCCTGCAGGCACGGTGACCAGGTGACTGGCGTACGCAGGAGCACGTGACCGCTTGTTCAACCATGTTCGATTGGGAATAAAGGAGGAACGCTGCATCGCAGCCTTTTCGGACCAAAACCAATCGACTCAGCGTCCAAAAGACTACAACATATGGGCCAATCGCGGTCATCCATGCTTTTATATGAACGAAATGGCGCTTTTAGTGATATTTTGCATACAAATCCCCATCTAGTAGGGCGCAGTCACCCAGTTTCGGTGGAAGTGCGCGAGTTCGATTGGGATTCAAGTAGGAAGGGAGCGTCTCAGCTTCCTCGGACCACGACCATTCGACTCAGCCCCCCGAAGACTACAACTGGTGAAATTTTAATTTTTGCCTTAACTTCCCCTAAACTAAAGTGTTAAGGACGCTAAGTACACAGTGGAACTGCTTATGTGCACTATGTATGCAGTGTGAATCGCTAGAACATCGCTGTCCTGCGACTTTGTCAAAGCATCTCAACTGAAGGTGTAATCGCATAACCTCTATAATTTGGCGTCTGCCTGAGTGCCTGCAATGTTCGGATTCAGTCCCTGTCTAGACTAGATGACTGCTTTTCACGTGACCAGGTTCACACGGCACACCCACCAAATCACATTGGAGAACTTTATCGTGTTCTCACCAAAATTACCCAGTATATTGCACCGTAGCTCTTAGGGCTGCAACGGGTAGGGGTTTGGTCGGGTAACGAGTTCGGGTATTTCTATCCGGGTAGCATGGGTGCTGTACCCTACTGGCCGATGACACCCCTAGTAAAACTCTGGGCATTCACAACATGGCCAGATTGAGAAAACCGAAACTTCACCGACTTGGTATGCATAGCTGGAGCATTTCAAAGCATGAACTACATGTAGTACCTCCTTTATGAACAAAGAAAAAAATATATATAATATATCAGACAGATAAGAAATCCATCAATCTATAAGAGAAGAAAAGCAGAAGTTGATAAACTAAGTTTTATGGATAATACTGAATATGAAAGATCATTATCAATTCATCAGGGCTGTCTAGGACCACCCATCGTCGACTACGTGCACTCGCAGTGTGTGTTTCCATCTACTACATTGTGTGCTAGGACCATGTGCTTATGTGCGGAATGTATGTTTTATGTCGTGACATGCATGGTAAAGGCAGGATCTGTCGGAGATATGAGATCTAGAAAGGAGCTTTCCCTACAGTAGCTGTGGTGTCCAGCGGGGCCATCTGCAACCCCCTGCACACCTTAGTCACTCACGTTCATGTGGACAACGTGGTCAAAATCAACTGTCTCCGTATGTTTCGAAGTATACAATTATATTGGCCAGCGGTTCTAGAACCACCGGGCCACACGAATACGTTGTCAACGGTTTACTGTCACTGATGCAGAGCAATGGGTCTCAACCGGTACAAAAAGTCCCACTTTAAAATGTGTTCCGATATGACTGCCCCGTGGGCTGCGTGTCTTACACATAGTCGTCGGACTTTGTCACATCGGCGTTGTCTTCACCACCGTCGTCACTGACTTCTTTCAGATCCTCCAGCATTTCGCCAGCCGCGCGTAAGCCTTCACTTTGAACGGTGACATCATCAGCGGCAGCCATGTCATTGCTCATGAAGGATTTCACCGACAGGTGCTTGCTGATTTCTCGCCCAACCCCCGGGTGCTTCCGTCTTTGTAGCTTTTCTTGTGCAGGAGTGGTAGGGGCCCCAGCTGTGGCTGGTTCTTCGGGCTGTGGCTCCTGTGTGCTGGACACGGAGGTGGTGTTCGGTGGGAATGCTTCTTGCTTGGACCTGGACCGCATGCTGCCCTCGGTGGCGGGTGCCCGTTCCGACTCCTCCGCCGGGCTGCCAAGCGATACAATGGAGGTGATGGTGTCGTGCCGCACAGGTGGCCCTGCAATACACATACGTATTCGCGTGCACACACACGCACACACACACGTACACATACACACACACGTACACACACACACGCGCACAAGAGCAACTTGAGGTAGGATTACACATTGCACGCTCAGCCAGGCTTGTCTGCTATAAGTATAATGATGGTACCTACGATGATGACAGATAGTCACAAAAGGATGCCTCACGATATCAGCACATCTATAATCGTGCCTCACGATATCAGCTCATCCATAAAATACGCCTCACCATATCAGCACATCCATAATCATGCCTCGCTACATCAGTACATGTACATGTACATCTATAACCATGCCTCAATAAACCAGCACATCCAGAATCATGCTTCACAATATCAGCACATCTAAAATTATGCCTCACAATATCAGCTCATCCATAATCATGCCTCACAATATCAGTACATCCATAAACATAGCAAGTCTCCCTTCTCTTTTTGGTTGTTGTTGTTGTTGTTGTTGTTGTTGTGGTAATCGTCGTTGTAGTCATGGTTGGCTTAAACCCCGCTTGCTCGCCGAATCATTACGGCTATCGTGTTCTTTATGCAATGGGGTTGCATGCAGTCAATACAGAAAGGGCAGTATTTTTACTCTAGGGCTTATAGGCATGGATGTTTCCGTTCACGTACCTGGCGCCTTTGCCTGGTGCGTTGCTGGTGGAGTGGTCGGTGGTGTCGTGGGCGAACTCACCGACGTACACCGCTGGGTCGTCGGGCCGCTGCCCGAGTGGGAAACAGCGCCGACGCTGCGAGTCTCGTTCAGTGGCACCAGCGGCATTGACCCCGGCAACAGGGTCGGCGGTGACTTGACCGGCGCCAGGGGAGTGTGTGACGACGTTCGCGACGTCAGCGGCTTCCTGCCCGCCTGAGCAGTCGCCGGGGGAGATGTTGCCGCGGGGCCGACGTAGCTCGCCGGCACATTCTGCATGGTCGCTATACTGCTGTCATTGCCCACTACTACAGCTGCTGCTTGTCCGTCCGGTATTGCACTCGGGTCAAAGCTGGTCTCGGCTACGCTAGTGTTTGTAAACACCGTGTTGTTGGAATCTATGCGAGATCGTGACGCCGTTCGCTGACAGCCGGGGCTGCAGTAGCCGCGCGCGCCGCACGTGGTGCACTCGAACTGAGCCACCTTGCCGCAGGTGCAGAAGTGACGCATCAGCCCCTGCTGGCCTTCCTTGTTCAGCATCTCCGGCACCATCTTCCTGATGAACACGGTATCCTCGTAGACGGTGCTGACGAACTTGCTCTGCTCCAGGCCGGGCTCGATGTCGGTTAAGTCGCGCGTCAGGAAGTAGAACGTGCTGGGCACGCACTGGAAGCTGTCGTTAAGATCGATGCGCAGCTTGCGCAGGCGCGTCGTCGGCAGTGCACTGATAATGCCAATCTTATGCCGTACACTGTGCTCGTCCAGCATGATCACGCTCATCTCCGCGCCACTCTCCGACTGGAAGGCCGCCGTCTTGGGACGGTTGCGCACCTCGGTCAGGACAACGTGTTCGACGCTCTTCTCGTTGTTGATGGGGAGCGCAGCAGAGTCGCCGGTGACCCGTGACTTCCACTTTTTCTTGCTGTGTAGGAAATACAGCAGCGCGAGGATGAGCAGTATGCAAATGATTGCCCCGATGACGGCGCCGACTATCGTCCCGGTATCATCCGTTGACGTAACTTCTCCAGGCGTCGGACCGGTAGGTGGTTGGCTGGCACTGCTCGTGGGCTCGGCAGTGGTGGCCAGCGTCGTGGCTGCTGCCGTGGTCACCGTTGTCGTGGGGACGGTGGATGGCGTCGGCGTCGTCGGGGGCGACGGAGTGGTCGGCAGCGGCACCGGGATGCGGATCACTGCGAACTGCGTCAGGTGGTTGTGCTGGCAAACAGCAAACGCCTGAGCGCCGTCCTGCACAATCTCCGGCAGCTGCACACTGCCGCCAATCGACCATTGCGAGTCCTGCGGAAACACACAGGGAGAAAGAAAAAAATGACTCTTTACTACCGAGTCTTCAGTTAGCGATACCAAAACACGGTGAAACAATCACTCGTCGCTGAATCTTTAATTGGCAATACCGCCAATCTAGGCCATTCAACTAGCCGTCGAGCACGTGAGCTATGGGAGTGTGTTCACCTGCACATCACTAACAGTGCATGTACTTTTCAACAAGGATACAGCTCACTTGCACACACACACACACAGACAGGCATGATTCAACAAGGAAACAGCTCACTTGCACACACACAGACAGACAGGCATGATTCAACAAGGATACAGCTCACTTGCACACACACAGACAGACAGGCATGATTCAACAAGGAAACAGCTCACTTGCACACACACAGACAGACAGGCATGATTCAACAAGGATACAGCTCACTTGCACACACACAGACAGACAGGCATGATTCAACAATGCACATCATGTATCTGTGGTTAGTGCACTCGATGATGACCATCGTAACCGAAACCAATTTGTATTTCCTTTCCTCTTACCCACGATTCATATCGGCTTGCCATCCGAGTTCAACCTATATTTTGTCATCTCTTACCTGCAGTGCACGATACGCACAGGTGAAATTGGTCCCCGGCTCAAGTGCACCACCGTTGGGTAGAGGCAGTCGCACTTGGATCGGCTGCGATTGGTTCTGCACGCGGAACGCGTGTCCACTGATGGGGTGCACAACGGACACGCTCAGCTGGCGCTCGCTGAGCACTGACACCGTCGACAGGTCTCGGCCGGGAAACTGCTGGTCCAGCATGGACCGAGCCGCCGGGTCGAGAGCCGTGCTGCTCGCTTGCTGGCTGTACTCTGCACGAACAACGCACGCTCCCTGGCATGCGCTGCCGTCCGTACGGCCACAGCCCCAGTTGGCTAGCACCGAGCTGAGCTGGGCACCGAAGTCGACGCAGCTGGAATCCGTGCAGAACTTGCCACGCGGGATGGTGACTTCAGCAGTTACTTTGGCGCCAGGGACGTTGATCATCTCCGCTTGTTCATCGAGCGCCAACTCTGTACACATCGCTGAAGCGACCTGCTGGGTTGCCTTCCGAAGAAGGTCGATTGACTGTGACTGCCGGCTGCGTGGCGCCCGCTCCACTATCTGTGACAGGCTCCTCAAAACTGAGGTGCTGTCATCATTCGAGAGAATTGGCTCGGATTTGAGCATCAGAGACGGGTTGGTGGGTACCAGCACGCTTGTGGTGTGGGGTAACTCCACTAAGCCTGCCTTGAGCGGGACTGCAGCCGTTAGAAGGGTGTCGATGGAACGCAGCAAGAAGTCAGTCGTCCCCTCACTCAAGATGCTCGTTGCTCCTGTGAATGTAACCGCAGTACGCTGTGCCTGCTGCAGTGCTGACAAGTGTGTGGGAAGAGAGGGCACAATGTTAGAAAGCAGCTGTGCGCCGTCGTTGGTGACTTGCTCTGTCAGGCTACCTGCACGCCCTGTTGCCTCTAGCGACATGACGGTGAGTTCTCGCAGGGCACTGGACCAATCACGGCGCTCCGTAAAGTCCTGCATAGCGCGGCTGTACGCAGCATTCGTCAGGACATCAGTTGCGGTTGCCGTTCTGGAAACGGCGACCGGGAATGATGCAGACGCCGTTGCGGCGGTGCTGGCCCTGCTGCGGATCTCTAAACTAACCGGATAGTTTCCATGTGGTAGCCGGGTGCTCACTTCTCGCCTAACCATCCAGCCTGTCAACCAATTGCGGCTACCCGTTTGCAGCTCAACCCCAAAGCGATACTCCAGGTCACTGCCATGTACCTCGTCTTGCCAGTTGGCCGCTTGCAACACGAACACGGTCTCCTCGTTACCCGATGAGGGAGAGGCGGTGAGAGTTCCGCCGGTAGCTGGGGGCAAGACTCGGAACTGGATATTTGATGACAATGTAGCGGCGCTGCCGTCGGAGATGCTGATATTGACGGAGTACCTTCTGTTGCTGGACATCACGGTCGGAGCGACAATCAGCACCACTTCCGCTTCCATCTGCGGAGCAATGGAGAGCGAGTGTGTCAGCGAGGTCACTGAGCTGTTGCTGGTGAACTGCTGTTGGCGGTGACTTGGTGACATCAAGGTTGCGCGGCTGTCGGACAGGTTGAATACGGTCAAACCTGCAAGGCAACACCACCGTTGAACAACACATGTGCTGAGTCAGCAAACATCATATACAAACATTATGCAATAACGTACAGAAGCTGTAAGCTTCAAAGTTACAAAACTGGCAAGTAAGGAATAAGTTTCATACAGGCATAAGTCAAAGAACGTTTGCTAGACACAGCTGTGGAGTAGTACAGACACAGCTGTGGAGTAGAACAGACACAGCTGTGGAGTAGTACAGACACAGCTGTGGAGTAGCACAGACACAGCTGTGGAGTAGTACAGACACAGCTGTGGAGTAGTACAGACACAGCTGTGGAGTAGTACAGACACAGCTGTGGAGTAGTACAGACACAGCTGTGGAGTAGTACAGACACAGCTGTGGAGTAGTACAGACACAGCTGTGGAGTAGTACAGACACAGCTGTGGAGTAGTACAGACACAGCTGTGGAGTAGTACAGACACAGCTGTGGAGTAGCACAGCCGTGGCCGAAGAAATCCGATACACGGGGCAGAAGCAGCGCCGCATTTCCATTTCAATTACGTTTTGCACGGTCCAAAACCCCAGCTGAGGGACGCAGCGGAGGGGGGGGGGGGGGGGGGGCAAGGGGGCACGACCGTGGTGCTGCTTTCGGCTCATGGGTCGGATTCCTTTTCCCACGGCTGCTACTCTCTAGTCACAGTTTCACCGAGCCAGACCAGTACTGTACAGCCGGGAATTTTCGGTATTTCCCAAAATCAACGGTTCGGTAGCGCGGACATTTCGGTAAACCAGTTTTCCAGATTCAAAAATGCATTTTGCACACCGTGTGGCAAGGCATGGTTGAATGTTAGGTCGCGTTATGTTTTTAGGTAAAAATTGCCTGTACTGAAGTTACCGAAAATAAATCTCCACCGAAATTTTCCAGTTTTAGAATAAGACATCACGTACAACTTACCCGCTCCGCCGATTGATGTCCAAGTGACGTTCAGCGGCAACTGGCTGGACGTAGTAATCCACGCTCGCAGCGCTACCTTCTGTCCAGCATACACCACAGGCACCTGGCTAGATAGTACTCGAATATGCGTGCCCGGCTGTGTGGCGTGAGTCTTGATTAGGGACGTGGCGCTCGCGCTGCTACGGTCTCCGGTGCGGACCGTGACGCTGAACTTGTATAATTTATTCGGCGACAGTTTGCCCGCTGGTATAGACAGATGTGCACTTGCTGACAGAGGTAGCGGCGCATTGACGCTGCGACTCAACTCACACGTGATGCCCTGTTCGTCGACACACTGCCACCGGTACTGGGGTGAGGTGAACTGCTCGCCTTCTCGTTGCGCAAGCAGAACGGCCGAGAGCGAAATGTCCTCTTGCGAGGACACGTCCCGATCACCGCCCTGGATCACAACAGCCAGGTCAGATTGACGCACCGACACTGCCTTGGTCGCTACAGTGTTCACAGAAACACTACCAGTTTTTGTGTTATACCATACAGTGGAAATTGCCACCGCCGAGAATTGTCCAGTGCCGATTGATGAAGCGCTTAGCAGGAATGTGCTCGATGGCTGAGAAGATGACGACACTAGCGTGTCGGGTACCAAATTATTGCCAGAAAGTCTCCATAGCTGCCACAGCGTGTTCGACTTTGTCACAACTGTACACACCGAATGCCACAGTTGCGTGCCCAGCACAACAGAGTCCACCGCAGCTGTCAGGGACAGTTCGGGCGGGCCAGTGATGCTCACATCAACGTCGCTGCTGCTCACATTTGGTTTCAGGACGGGATGTCGAGCCGGACTGGACGGCATGCCGAGAGCGTTGACAACAGTCAAGTGCACATAGTACCGGACGTCGGGCTGAAAGAAGCTGGCATTTAGAGACAGAGTGCTGCTCAACGGCGATTGCGTGCTGGCCATCTGCTGCAGAGCTGAGAAGCCAGGCGTTTCGGCATCCTCCGTCGCCACGCTCCACTGGTACAGCACAGACCTGTACCCAACCGAGCCAGTCGCGTAGCCCCGCACGACAATGGATCCACAGCGGGGGACTTCCGCAGGGCCGACGATTGATGCGGTCGCACTGGGCGCCTCGCGGAAGGGAGCGGTCACAACTATCTGATCCCCCACAGAGGCCCGAGGGTGGGCTTGGGAACGAGCACGGATGCTGTTATCTACGGTGTGCAGGCGCGACGCAAGCGACACACTGCCTGCACTGCTGAGCGTGACCACCACTGCCTGTTGGCTGTCAGACTCCCAGGCGCAGCGTGCCAAGCCGCCGCCGAGCAGTGCCGCTGCGTCCTTGAAGACCTGCGCACAGTTGGTCAAGTCGCCAGAGTCCAGGGTGATGGCTCGGTCCCAGCGCACTCTCAGTGTGGTCAGGCCGTTGGAGAACTGCGCGGTCTGCATCGCCGGGGCACTCCGCTCGTAGGTGAACAATGCTGGCATACCAACCGATGTACGCAGTATGCCCGAATGCTGCCCATCAATACTAATGTACATCTCTACACGGCACGACTGCGCCACCTCTGGCAGCTGACAGGTAACGTGCGTTACGTTCATGGACGTTGGCACTATGCTGTAATAGCCGTCAACGTCAAGCTGCTTGCCGGCCAGCGCTCCGCATCGTGTTACGTTTCCCAGCAGACAGCGCACGTCGGCACTGGGCACAAAGTTCTTTCCGGTCACTGTGACTCGAGGCGATGATTCGGTGAGCGACCTGTCGGGCTCAATGGCATCCACGGCCATGTTGGCGGTGTCGAGGAACACGAACCTCGCGTCAATGTCTTCCAGGTCGTTGTAGCGGTCATCGGGCCGCACGCTGAGCTTGAACGAACCAGATGCCAATGACAGTGGTGCGATGCAGCTCATGGAGCTCTGGTCTTGCATGTACGCCCTGGGACTCAATTGTGTGCCGGTGCTGCCCGTGAACAAGCAGCGCGGGTTGACCGTCACCTGCGAGTTAGTCTCCACGACGCCACCGCACGACGGGATGAAGTTCCCGCTGGCGTCGAACGCGGACGACCCGGAGCTGTTTACAAAGAACCCAGCGCCCTGCACAGAAATGCGGGTGCCGCCCGACGCCGGTCCGCTCCGCGGCTGAAGATCGTAAATCCTCAGGCAGCCGCAGTTGTGACCGTTGCAGTGGCCGCAGCGATCACGCACCTTGCCGCTGGCCGGCTGGCCGTCGCAACCGTTGCATGTCGTGCTGCTTCCACCGCACACACCGCAGTCGTCCAGGGTGGTGTTGGCGTGCGCCGTGCTGTTGTAGCACACGCCGCACGCGTCCCGGAGTGCCGCGCCGAAGCACGTTCCCTCGCAGTCGCGATACTCCAGCGGCACTCCGGGCGTGCTGACGTTGCGGCACACGCCGCAGTGCGCGTCCTGCTTAAACGACCCGCCACACACACCCGTGCAGTCCAGGCGATAGTTCCTCGGGAAGAGTGCCGTCCCGCCAGTGCAGTCACCGCAGTCGTCAATGCTGGCATTCCCGTGACACACTCCAGCACAGTCCCTGCATGTCAGCAGAACCAAGACACAGTCACACAAGTACACTGTATGGACACCATCACACACGGGGACACATGTGAAGTACAGGTACTGGTAGTCTGGCTGTTCTACAAGGCACTACCTACATGTACACGGTGGCATTCACTAGAGCCTGATGAAATAACACTTTCACTGATCATGTGATGTATTGTTACATTGTAGTGTGCCAATGCTGGCAAGTTATTCTAAATACGATCTGCTACATGTGTCAAGGTTATGCGATTACGATGATCAGTGAGTGGTATCGCACATATAGCTTGCCACTCAATACAAAATACCTTTGATAAACCCCTATCCTGTTCATTCCCTCCCTCCCTCTCTCCCCCCCCCCTCTCTCTCTCTCTCTCTCTCTCTCTCTCTCTCTCCCTCTCCCACTCAGCCAATCATATTGTATAGCACTGGCCTTACCTGACAGTGTTGTACTGTCGTGATGTGCCTCCCTCCACGCACTGCCCGCAGTCGTCAATCACGGCCGAGCCAAAGCATGTGCCGTGGCAGTCACGGCTTGTGTTCCGTCCGCGGCATACACCACAGTCATCACTGCCATGTCCGCTGAACGGCACTGAGTCACAGGCCAGGCATGAGGAGCCATCGCCACCGCACGAATCGCAAGAATCCCGAACCTGAAAGGCAACAAACATACAGAACTTGATCAGGTGGTAGATTATACACGTACACTTGAAGCATGCGTTCAATGACCGCCTACACATTTATGGCAAGTGCATTGTGATCAGATTCTGCAAACACATGCAGTCTCGTCTCTCAAACCAGGATGACCATTGCACGCTGTCCATGTTTGGTGACAAGGAATAGTGGTCCGACACACCAGGCGGCTGCTGCTGAAACCAGGCAGGCATTTGCACAGGTTTCACCTTTTCTTACATCCAGCTGCATGTACCGTGTAAGTGGTGCGCAACAGGCCATCATTCCCTACCTTCTCCTATGGAGGGGTTTCACAGTTCCGCCATGTGACACGTGTCATGTGACCACATCTGTGCAGAAGATGATCATGGTATGTGGGCAGTGGAACCAACATGGCCGACCGCCCATCATGACTATGACCCATAGATGCAAGGATTGAATGGAGTTGGAACCAACAGTGTAAGGGGTGTAGTAGGTTGCGTGTATTGAGGCTCCCGTTTTTCCGTAGTTTTTAGGTAGCTTTTGGGGACTAGCCCCAACAGCCTGGGTGGGATGGCTAGCCCAGATCACACTGAGCAGCTGGTGAGCGCCGAACAGGTCCATACACAGCTTCGCTCATTGCCTGGCATCGAACACAATGTTGTAGAAGTGCTGAGAACTCTAGCTCGTCTTGAAAGCCAACTTCAGGACCAGGAGAAACGATATCAACGAAGGATTAGTGAATTGAGCTCCGAACTTTCCCAGCTGAGAGAGGACCTGGCCGACACTCGCCTTTGCCAAAATTTGGACATCGGCAATGTTACGTGTGCGTCTTGTAAATCAAACTCCTCCGCCATTGCAGACCAAGAGAGAGAGCAAGAAACAACCAGCCAGAGGCAGCGCCGAAATCGAAAGAAACGTAGTACAGGTACAGAAAGTCGTTCACAGTCCGCCGTACCCGTAGAGAGTTCACGACCCATTGATCCCGAGATGGACCTGACTAGCAGTGTCAGATCCGACGTTGACAGCTCAAACAACAAGCCGTCCAACTCCCGTACACATGGTACACCCGGACCCAGCTCGGAGTTGACCCCGCCACGTGTGGATCGCTTGCCGAAATTTGAAGAGATGAGTGAGGATTCGGACGCCACATGGCGACTCATCACCTCCACCAAACCCACAGCGAAGAAGAGAGTCCTGTTTGTCGGAAATCTGATGCATGCAATTACTGCAGACCAGCTGAAGGAGTTCATCGCAGCAAGAGCAGCTGAGGCTGACCACAATGTCCAAGTGTTTGACGTAAAAATATTTCAAAAAGAAAAATCCTCCACTGCGCGTATTGTTGCCAGTGCAGCGGACGAATCGTTTCTCAGCAACAAGCGCTTCTGGCCAAGGCCTGTGTACACAAGAGAGTGGAACTTCGATAAGTACACCCAGTCTGATGCCAGTGGAGATCAACAAACAGCGCAGAGCAGCACCACGACCACCAACAGCAGCAGCAGCCGAACGGACGACAGTAAGAGCGGACACGGCGTGGATTGCGATATCCTAGATGACACCTGTGGAGCACCGGCCCGGACTCCAGGCCAGAAATCACGGGGCTATCAGCGTGACTCGCCGCCCGAGACGCAAGCTGCGAAGTTTAGTGTCACTGTTGGCAACGCATTTGCATCTCTAAGTCAGGATGTGGATAATATATCTGTGCAATGACTGGAAGAAGATTAGGCAACGACCCTGCTGCTCATGAACTGAATATGCAAACGCAAACTCCAACAATTCGAATTTTACTGCTGAACATTAGGAGCCTGAGGAACAAAGTTGGAGAGCTGGCATGGCTTGCCGACCTTCACAGTCCTGACATCATCTGTGTCAACGAGACCTGGCTAGACGACACCGTGTCTGATGGAGAGATAGCTTTGGATGGCTTCAACATACTGCGCTCAGACAGAAAAGATCAGGCCGGTGGAGGAGTCTGCCTGTACTCCAAGGCATCCCTCCTGGTCAAGCCAAGAATGGACCTCACAGAATCGGCAATTGAGAGCTGCTGGGGAGAAATCCATTGCCAATCTGGAACTTGTTTGATAGGAACCATTTATCGACCTCCATCTGAGCCAGTTCGATACTGGGACTGCCTGGACGACCATCTCCATTCAGCTATAATGCCCGGGAAGAACGTGATTATTTGTGGCGACATCAACATAAACACCAATCCAACAGCACCTCCAGATCCACAGCTTCATTATCTATCTGACCTCGTGGCCAGCTACAGTTTATATCCCGGAGTTCACCAGCCGACTCGGTTCTCAGCAAACTCTGCACCAACCACACTGGATCAATTTTACAATACATTCGACCCTCTAAATATGGCTACTGTTATCCCCATCGCGTTCAGTGACCATGCAGCAGTTCTCAGTGAATTTCAACTCAGCCCAGTAAGAAGTACTGTAACTTCTGGGCTACGGCGACACTACCGAAACATAAATCATGACCAGTTCAAGGCAGATTTGGTCCAACAGGATTTTTGTGAAATTGACGGAAGCCCAACTGTCATGTGGACTGAGTGGGCCAGCCGCTTTCTACAAGTGTTAGACAGACATGCTCCTCTTGCACCAAGCCCTCGACGCAAGAAAAAATCAGTACCATGGATGAACCGCCAGTTATTACACCTCTTGACCAAGCGCAACCGGCTCCATAGGAGGTGGCTTAGTGATGGAACAGAACATTCCCACTCAGCTTTCAAGGCTGCCAGGCGGGAAGCTACCAGCTATAATAGGCAACAGAAAGAGACCTACTACCAATCCAAGTTTCGAGCTGCGTCTGGCAATACCAAACAGACATGGCACACGATCAAAGAATTGAGTGGTAAACATCGACAATCTCAGCCACCTCAATGTTCTGTTGATGCCATCCGAAACACCTTTGCAGAGATAGTAGAGGACGCCAGCCGCCCAGTGCATCTCTCATTTCCCTACGGGCCCGCCTCAAGCACTGATCTGACAGCCTTTGCGCCAGTGTCTATTGCCAGAGTGAGGAAGCTCCTCGAACGTTTAAATCCGGCCAAGTCCAGCGGTGATGATGACATTTCTGCAGCCCTTCTCCGCGCACATGCAGACGTACTGGCGCCATCCCTGACTTTGATCTTTAACAAGTCCCTGAGAGAGGGCATATTTCCTGCCCAGATGAAAAGTGCTAGGATATCGCCACTCTTCAAAGGCGGAGATCCGAGCATGCCAAAGAATCATCGACCAGTGTCCTTGTTATCGATTGCATCCAAAGTGTTGGAAAGGATAGTCCACGAGCAACTCACACGATATCTAGTTCAGAGCAATTTATTCCCGCCAACTCAATTCGGCTACAGATCCCACCACTCTACATCCGACGCACTAGTGCTAGCTGTGGAAGGTATCTGTGAGGCCCGTATGAACAGACTCAACACAGGTGTAGCCTTTGTTGATATGTCAAAGGCATTCGATAAAGTGAAACATCAAACTCTTGTGCAAGATCTGTTCGAACTTGGCATCTGCGACACGGCACTCTGTTGGCTGGTGGATTACCTCTCTGATAGAGAACAGTACGTTCAGGTTGGCCAGACTAGAAGTCTCCCGTACACCAGTTACTCAGGTGTCCCCCAGGGGTCGGTACTGGGCCCACTGCTATTTATTGTCTATGCCCGCGGCATAGCAGAAGAACTATCACCGTTTAATGTGGGAGCAATCCAGTTTGCTGATGACATCTCTATACGATGTAGCAGGGAGTCTGCGGAAGCTGTTTCTGCACACCTTTCAGCTGCTGTTCAGCACCTGGCCACCTGGCTGAAGGGCCGTGGTTTAATTCTTAATGAAAGAAAGACACAGATATTGCCTATTCCCCCATCCCCATCTCAAGCACTTGAGCTGCATGTCATTTGTAATGGGCAGACGCTGCCTGTTGTGAAAACGGCCAAGTATCTTGGCCTACATTTCGACTCAGACATGAGCTGGAACACCATGACAAGCCATGTTGCACGCCGCGTTGCCGCTAAGATTGGGCTACTAAATCGAAGTGCAGCATGTTTGCCTTTTTCTTGCCGTGTTCAGTTTTTCAGGTCCTTTATACTATCAGAATTTGACTATGCATCTGCTGCCTATGCCCCTTTCTTATCGTCTTATCAGGATAAGCGCCTAAATAGTTTGTTCAAACGTGCGGCTCGCTCGGTGTGCAGGGCAGCCCCTCGCACTCACACGGCTCCCTTACTTGAACGCATGAATGCCCATACCCTCAGCATATACACCCACATGCACATCCTTGTATTCATTTGGCGCTGCCTGAACAAATCTTCAAGTACTCTGTTTGCAAGCTTTTTCACCCGTAGTCCCTCTCTCCGAACACGAGGAGGGAACAGCAAGTTACTCATCATTCCTGTCTCCCCCACTGCATCCTCAGCTAAGCGCATTAGCCATGCTGGAGCTATCCTGTGGAACCAGCTCCCAGACACAGCACGCCTCGAAAGAAAGCGCTCCACTTTCAAATCGCTAAGCCTGGCCTTTCTGTTAGGCAGTACCGTCAACTAGGATGAACTCATCTGCTTCACTACCTCTCTCTCTCTCTCTCTCTCTCTCTCTCTCTCTCTCTCTCTCTCTCTCTCTCTCTCTCTCTCTCTCTCTCTCTCTCTCTCTCTCTCTCTCTCTCTCTCTCTCACTCACTCACTCCTTTCTTCCCGGTTGCCGTGCTTGTGACTTTTTTTCCCCTGCTGCCGTGCTCATATTAGTTATCTAACTACAGCTGTATCTTCTTCTTGGTTCTGTTTGTCCGCTTATTATTATATTTTCTTTTCTCTTATTATCAGTGGGACCATTGTCATTAGGTTTAGGCCTGTTTTGGAACTCCACTTTAAATAAAGCCAAACAACAACAACAACAACAACATGGCTGTTCTGTATGGTCATGTGATAGATGTGAAAACCACTCTATTCACTGTAACAAAGTTCACTGCTCCGGGTCTCTCACCTTGTTAGAAGCCGACACTCCATCGCAGCCAATGCAGCTCGACCCGGTTCCGGCGCACACACAACAGCTGCCATGCACGTTAGCCGATCCGGCCACTCCATCGCAGCCTAGCCGCGTTGCGAGAATGCTGACCGTGCCCGTGCTGAATGCTTGACACGGTGGTGCGTCGCTTGCGTTTGTCAGGGTGGTGTAGCAGTCTGTGTTCACGTTCATCTGACCTGTGAGTAGTGGAATGTGGACAGACAGACAGACATGCACGCACGCACACGCGCGCACACACACACACACACACACACACACACACACACACACCACACACACACACGCACGCACACACACACACACGCACGCACGCACGCACACACACACACACACACTGTGACGTAAGGAAGGGAAGCCACACAATAAGAATTTTCCATTCCACCAAGACCACCGTTTTAATAAACACACACGCCAGTCAGTGACACAGGTGCCACGACAAGCTCCCAATGATGACTTTGCTCCGGTAGAACTACTCACCTGACTTGCCTCCGAGGACTACGTCCCAGAACTTGACACGCAGAGAAGGCCCATTAGTCGGACCAGTGACCCAGTAGTAATCAGGGTTTGGACTGAAGCGCACTCGATCGTACGGCCGTAGCAGATGCGCACGCTGTTCAGAAAGCGACGTCGGGAAGGTCAGCCATCGGGACGTCCGGGAAACGTTCAGCGAGCGAGCGTGCTCGAGCAGCTTCTGCGTATTGGAAGCCACTGCTCGCACGTCACCGACGGTGATGCTGTTGAACACGACGTCGTCCTGCAAGAGATACTGCCAGGTGCCATGCTGCTGGCTCTGCGTACCCGTGATTGCAATTCCGATCGGCGTGCCGTCCAAGTCACTTGCTGCTTGCTCGGCTAGATCGCCGACCAGAGTACCGTAGTTGAAATCACTGCTGCTGCTGCTGCCGCCGGCACTGGAGGGTTGACAACCAGCCCCCTTTCCAAAGTATGCATCTGCAGAGCAATAGGGTACACACACCAACATAATGTCATCAGTTGTGACACATGTGGTGGCACACGTCCCATGAGGTATTTGCAATTTATGTACCGTATTTCCCGATTGTAAGGCGCACTCGATTATAAGTCGCATCCCCACTTTGAGGCTTGAACCGCATTGTTTCAATACCTCCGTATAAGTAGGATGTCGCTCTCGATTGTGAGTCGCACCCCCTACTTTACCGTTGAAGTTTAGTGCAAAAAGGTGCGACTTATATTCAGGGAAATACGGTATGTGTACAGTGCGTATCGGTTATAGTGTGGTCGTATACAAGAATATACTGCCTACAAGAATGACCACTCATTTTTTCATAATCATAACACCTATTTTATGTGTATTTTTATTCTTACAAGCAGTATTATCGCATAGTAGAATATATCGGCCCTAAGAATGGATTTTGTGTAGCAAAATATGACAGATTAGTGCAAAGTGTATCGCCTGTAGTAATAACATCTGTGCTCTGTGCATGCTCAATACAATAATATTCAACACAAAAAGAGAGTTATGTCCAACTGAGCATTGTAATTTGTAGAACCACTTTTTCTGTCCAGTCGGACTCTTTCTTCCGACTTCTCTCCTATCTGCTGCTCCGCAGTCGCCTAGCACGACCGCGAGTCTGATCCGTGTGTATCATGATTGTGTAGACCTACATGATTGTACGTGTCCACATGCCAAACATGTATTATGTCACACGTGCATATGATATGTCACACGTGATTTATCGTGTGTAAGAAATATCGGCAATAAGAATCAAATGTCGTTTTTCAAACACCCACGCTATAACCGATACCTACTGTACATGTCTGAGCTGTGCAGTGTAAAGTGTACCCAGTACTTTGCCATTTCACGTCAGCATCGGGATACTGGTCGCATGGGCTCATACCACTTTGATTCGGCTCATACCACTTTGATTCGGCTCCACGGTCTACACATTTACACGTGGAAATATGGACCCCTTCTTCACTGCCGTTCACCTACCTTTTAGTAGCACTTTGTGTTCAAAACATGTGCATATACAGACAGTTTCAGCGCCTCGAAATTCGCTGCAGTCACCCCTCGTTGACCCAGCTTTATGTGCTCTGGATGGCAGTCGTGAGTCAGTCAAGTGAGAATTCAAGTCGGCAGGAAAAGCGCGAGCTCCCACGTAGGGAGCAACACACGATTCTTTATGAACCAGCATCAATGGACCAGCAGAACTTTCAGTAACCGACATGTCCCATTCATGTCCACTGCACCAATACATCAGATTTGTTAATTAACCCAGCCGCCTCCCCATTCAGCACAGTGTCCATAGCACAAATAGCGTCGCATTATAATGGGATCACTGCACACGAGGTACTATTCTAGTGTGGAATGAATCTTCAGAGACCTCTCGTGTTATACGCTTGACCCGTGTGTGCATGTGCCCGTGGAAAAGATATTACCATCGCGGATGACATCAACGTGGTATCCCAGCGATGCTAGCACGGACTTCCTGGTTGTTACAAGCATCTGAACCTGCGGCAGTGTGAGGGCATTGCCCGCGACGCTGAAGAGGATCTCGGAGCTGCAAACACACCAAAACCACGGCAAGAGACACGCATGTATGAGCCACATGCTATGTCAAGCAATATCCTGTCCATCGCATCCCAACTAATGAAGTCAGCACGATCGATTGTATATGTAGAGGTTATGTGAATGATGTCATGATACTGATACAATGACATCATGATAATCATGATGATGTCATTGTATATTGTATACTTTGTATGGAGTGGCCACATGCCACTGCATCTACACTGTGCTATCTCAAATGACTGTCTCGCATAACCTCTGCTGCAAGCCTGTAAGCAGTATTCTGAGTTGTTCGTTTGATCATGATGATGACCGAGGCGAAGAAGAATAGGAGGGTCCTGGGCTGGTAGCTTTCTCGTTATTATTAATTTTCATCGCATCTCACGTGGCTGTTTGATGTCCTTGTCTTACCGTGTTGTGTTGACGGGTTCGATGCGCAGGACACTGATGCTGTGCAATAGCGCTACGAACATGTGCTGCTTGAAACTATCGATGCTTTGACGTAAGTCGCTCGCTGAGCGCTCCACGACTGCAGTGAAGACATGGTCATACTCGTAACGAATGCGGTACGGAATTGGCTTCAAACCGGCAGTTGGCTGTGTTCTTGTTGCCCTGTCCTCGCTGTTCAGCACCGCTAACTGGACCGCCCGAGCGGCAGACGAGACGCTCGTTGACGCAACCACCGAGATGAGTGAGCGTTGGGCGGCTGCTCGAATGGGCACAGCGCCCTCGGCTGCAGTCGTGACACCATCCCATGCGAGCACGGTGACGGGATCGGGGCGACCGTAAAAGTTAGCCCGCGGTAAGAACCGGAGCCGTGCACGTTGATCGACGAACACGCTTACGTTACCCGTGGTGCCGGGAAGCGCCCGGTCAATGTAGTACCACGTGGAGAGCGTACCGTGCGGGGAAATCTGCCAACGACCGCTTTCATCCGGTAACTGAAAGGTGACAACTAGGCCTGGTTGATAGCCGTCCTGTGTGGACAGCAAACGACTGGCAATGATCGGGTTGACATGCTGCACCTGATCAAAGTAGTCAGAGAGGTTCCCGGCACTGACCAACAGCTGATCAACACCGACGGGCAGGTACGGGATGTGGGAGTCGTTCCCGCGCTGTGTCCAGCGCTTCAGGATGGGACCGGTAAGGAGTGTTGCCATTGGCGTTCCGTCATTCAGGTAGGCAGGTGTATCCTCTACGAGATCAACCAATGTCAGCGAGGAGTTGAACAAGGACGGGAACTCAATGGCCGGTTGAATGATGGCGATGATGAATGCAGTGCCAGCACTGAAAGCACTGGCGCCACCCGTACTTAGTGGATCCACGGTTACGACTTGACCTGTGCTCGCCAAACTGCCATTGCCTACTGGATGCTGCAGCCCAGCCATGCTGCCGTCGTACGCGTACGCCTTGAACCAGACGGCACCGATAGCGGCGGTACTGGCTACGGGTCGTATGCGAGTCATGGGACCGAGCAGCAGTGAATGTCGTGTGGATACGTGCTGTGGTATGTCCATCCATGCCGACGGACGGCAGTCGGATGGCTCTAGCGGAGAGGAAACACACTCGGCGTACTGCCAGCCAGTCTCATTGTCAGCACCTGTCCCTACCACTGCTAGGCCAAGAATATCTGAATCGCTGTCGTTGGCAAACGGTTGGCCATTGAAGCCGTTGGCAAGTACCTCGGACACCCAGACACCTTCGTTTAGCAACAGCTGCGAAATCAGGTCTGCGTAATCATCCCTGCGCACTTCCCCGACATACAGCAGGTCTGTGTTGAGGACGGGCGATGAGTTTGGTGTCGGTGTGACGAACGGCGGCTCGGTCGTCATCAGCACGCACGGCACGGACGCGTTGATGCACGAGCGTGTGTAGTTGCAGTACACCAGTGCAGTGCTGTCACAGCATTCACCCATGTCCAGCGTACAAACCCCGGTCTTGGGGCACTCCAGCAGCGGAGCGCGGCATTGCACGCACGGATCGGGCACGTTGACGTTGAAACAGCGGTCACGCAGGGAGCAGAATACCATGCTGGCGGCGGTGCACGATTGGCCGACCGACGACATCAGGACTGCGGCATTCCTGCACGTACGCACGCCGCCGTCCGCTTCGACGAGAGCCTGGTCGACGAGACACGTCGTTGCGGACGACGAGTTGTCACACGTCGTGTGCGTGTCCAGGGGCAGACAGCGCGCGGTGGGCTGGCACAGCGAGTGCGTCGTGTGACAGCGCGTCTGTTCGCACGGCTGCTCGAGCGGCATGCACGTACTGTTGGTGGAGTTAACCGCAGCACACACCCAGTGGGTTGACGACGAAGAGCAGTAGAGATACGCGCATGCCTTGCCGCTGAGAATCGGCAGCCACCCGGCAGAACATGCTCCGCACTGTCCTGGCGATGATGTAGTCATATTGTCTGAAGTCGCATTGTCGTACTGCGAACAGTCTGCGGCCGGCTGTGTCAGGTAGCAGAGGTGGGGCAAGCAGAAGTTCCCGCTGAAGTCGAAATTGACGTCAACAAGTGCGTACGTGACCAGCTGTCCGTCAGACGCGGCAAACGTGACGTTGTAGCGGGTGTTGGCATCCAGTCCTGGTTGTGCAGTGACAGATACATGTCCCGTTACGGCGTCGATACTCAACAACCCATCATCATTGCCGGCCGAAATGCTATACATTACATTGCCATAGAATTCATCAGCGTCAGAGGCGTTCACCATGGCAACCACATAGCCAGCGGGCAGGTAGCGACTCATGTTGAGTGTTTCCGGTACGGCAATGAACCAGGGATAATTGTCGTTTTCGTCCACCACCTCAATGCGGATGCGCTGGCGAGTGGATCGCCGATGAACATACCCATGATCCAGCGCGAACACCTCGATATCATAGCTTGTGGCAATCTCATGGTCCAGCGACTCCTGCAGGATTAGCTCGCCACTGGTGGCGTTTACCAGGAATAAGTCCTGGCCGTTCGGTGCCAGTGCGTTGCGCGAGATGGCGTAGCTCAGGTATGCTGCGTCCGGGTCACGGGCCACCAGGCGTGTCACGACACTGCCAACCGCGGCGAGTTCGGGCACGAAGAACGTGTAGTTGGTCTTTTCGAACACCGGGTTGTGGTCGTTCTCGTCGGCAATGCGCAGGGTGATCACTGCGGTGGAGTGGAGTCTGGGACTGCCGCGGTCAGTGGCCGTGATACTAACATTAACAGATTGTACATCACTGTAGCTTAGCTGCTGGGTGAGGATCAACGCACCGGACAGTTCGTCCACGGTAAGGCTGGAGAGAACGTGCGCCGGTGCGGCTAACGCGTAGCGTATCAGGGCGTCACTGCCGTCAGTGTCGGTGGCCGCGAACACTCCCAACACCGCCGGGGTGGCGATGGTCTCGCTTACATCAACGGTGAACAGCGACTGCGAAAACTCCGGCGCATTACGGTTAACCGGCACGATAGTGATGTAGACGGCAGCGGATGCTATCTGCGAGGCTGGAGTTCCGTAGTCTCCGGCTACGACTGTCAGTACGACGGAACTGACGGAAGACGCGTTAAGATCGGCAGTGGTTGTAATGACACCGGTGGACGTATTAACAGCGAACAAGCCTGGAGCGCTGGTGTGCTTCACAGCATAGAATATCATACCGTTGTAGCCACTGTCCGGGTCAGTGTTGTTGGTCATCAGTACGCGGTGGCCAATCGGAACGTCTTCGTGCACGGACGCGTGATACCTGGCGGACGGGAACGACGGTGAGTTGTCATTGGTATCGGCAATGGCAATGTCTACAGTTGTGAACGTCATCAAGGGCTTGCTGCTCGCATAGTTTGTGGCTGAAACATTCAGCACAACATTGCTTGCCATTTCATGGTCAACAAGAGTATACGTGGACAGCTTGCCGCTACGCTGATCGATGGTGAACCAGTTGAGGTGGTTTCCGGACACAAGGCTGTACGCCACTGACGATTCCGTTGCAGAGAGATCCCCGTCGTGACTTTCCAGTGTCAACACTGACCGGCCTGGGAACGACAGTTCCGAGACTGATACCCGATACTGGCTGGCGGGGAACGTTGGTGCAAACTCATTGACGTCGCACACCTGAACTCGGACAGCCACACTCGCCAGTTCGCCTTGGTTGGAGTCCAGAGCAGCAACAATCAGGATATGAACCTGCTGTGCTTCGTAGTCCAAGCTACCGCCAAGCATGATATCGCCTGACGAGGAAATCGCGAACAACTGCTTGTCATTTCCATGCTGTACAGAGTAGCCTGCAGCGGACGGCATCCGCACTGTCCCGACGGCACCGGTTGGGACTGCATCCTCGTCCACCGAGAACGTATACGAGGGCAGATCGAACGCGAGTGATTGACTAGACACTATGCTTAAGTGGACGAGTTGACAGGTGCTGAGCTCCCCATCGGACGCGCAGACTCCAGCAGTGAGTATTGTGTCGGCAACGTTGACTAACAATGCGCTTACGGACAGTGCGCCGGTACGCGAGTCTGCGGACAACAACGATGGCACAGTGCTGTTAGAGAGCGTCGGGTCGAGGCTGTACGCCAAGCCTGGCGAGGCACCAGCTGGAAAGTCACTGTCCTCCGCGGCCGCAAACGCCACTTGTGCACCTACGATGGTGGACGCGTACACCGACACGGACTGCGTTGCAGTGACGAACCGTGGCCGATTGGTGTTTGGGTGGTGAACGGTCACAGTCAACACGGCTCGGTCAGATTGCGTTGGCACACCCCCATCTTGCACACCAATGCTGAGCTGGAAGAGGCGATCCATGTCAGTCAGAGCGCGTGTAGTACTTACCACCCCGGACCGTGGGTCGATGGTGAACAGTGCCCATGCATTGCCAGTCAGTATAGAAAACTGCAGCTGTGCATTTACACCGGTGTCCAAGTCCTGCGCTGTGACGGTCGAGACGACCGAACTCGCCGTGGCATTGCTGAGCAGTGTCACCCGCAGACCGGCCACTCCTTGGCTGATGACTGGCCGTTCGTCATTGACGTCGGCGACCGATACTCTCACGACTTGACTGGCAGTGTTGGATGGGACACCAGAGTCCTCGGCAGTGACCGTAAGTTCGTAGACGGCCTGCCGCTCTCTATCCAGCAAGGATGCCAGTGACAACGTACCTGTCTGCTCGTTGATGGAGAAATGCCCTTTAGAGTTTCCAGCGGAAAGGTAGAACCGCAACCGGGCATTGGTTGTCGAGTCGGCATCCGTAGCACGGATATTCGTTATCGTTGCGTAGAGCGGCGTGGTCTCCGGAACGGTGACATTGATTTGAGATGCAGCAAATACGGGCGAATTGTCGTTCAAGTCGACGACGGTGACGACTAGGAATGCCGTTGCACTGCGCGTCACTGCTCCCATGTCTTCCACCAGCACGGTCACGTTGTAGCGCTGCGTTCTCTCGTAGTCCAGTGCATTCCGTACGGTGACAAAACCCGTCGTGTTGTCTATGTGGAAGTCGCCGCCGGTGTTTCCGGCCGCGAGGGTGTACTCGAGCCGGGCATTGTGCGTACTATCGGCATCCGATGCCAGGATTTGCAACGACCATCCACTTAGCGTGTTCTCATCGATCACGGCTGTGTAGCCGCTTGGCGAGTCAAATCGCGGCGTGTTGTCGTTGACATCGGCGATTGTGATGTTGACGGACGCAGTCTGTGACAGCGACAGCGATCCAGCGTCACGCACGATGACCTCGAGATGGTATTCAGCCTGTGTCTCATAGTCCACCCGCACCCACAGTGAGATCTGGCCGGCTGTCGTGTTGATTTCAAACGCAGCGGAGTCATTGCTTGGAATCAGGGCGTAGCTGAGCACAGCATTGCTTCCGTCGTCCTTATCGACGGCCTCCACCCTAAACACATCAGATCCGATGGGCAGGCTTTCAGGGATAGTTTGATTGTAGAACTCGGGTCTGACAAAGCTTGGCCGTTCGTCGTTCTCGTCCAGGATTGTCACGACGACGACTGCTGACGAGAGCGGTGATCTCAACGGCAGACCATCCTCGGCCACGATGTGCAGCTCGTGACGACCGCTGACTTCACGATCCAGCGGGCGCAGTGTGGTGATGTTGCCAGTGTGCTTGTTGATGGCAAAGCCGTCCGTACTGCTGTCGTTGTGCAGGCTGAACGTGACGTTGTTCAAATCCAGATCAGTAGCCTCCACTTGCCCGACTGCAGACCCCGCTGGCAGGTTCTCGCCAACTGAGAACCCATACTCCGGTTGCCTGAAGATCGGGTAGTGATCATTCTGATCCAGAACGTATACCGTCACGTTCGCACGGCCCCGGAGACTGGGACTGCCTCCGTCCGTTGCTACCACCACGAAGTCGAACACGGCCTGCGTCTCTCGGTCAAGGGCCCGAGAGAGCGAGACGAGTCCCGACGTGGAGTTGATGATGAACGGAGAGACGCCCGACGCGTCAATACTCAACCTGACCTGATTGTTTGGTGACGTGATATCGCCGTCGGTGGCCGTGATTCGGAACACGGACCGATTGCCCAGGCCGCCTTCCTTGACGGAAAACTGAAACAGCGGGGACGTAAAGACCGGATTCACATCATTTACGTCAACCACCATGATCGTGAGCTGGGTGACCGTGGACAGGCGATCCTCCGGTTTCGCTGCGTCGTCGGTTGCCGTGACGTTCACGACATACATGTGCTGTATCTCGGCATTGAGCATACTGGTAAGGTAGATTGTACCATTGTCCGCCGCAATGCTGAACGGCGACGACAAGCTGACACCGAACGCGAAGGAGAAGTGGAAAATCCTGTTGGATCCCACGTCGGCGTCGGTCACCATGAAGCGCAGCAGGGCGAGGCCGAGCGGTGCGTCCTCGCGGACATGCACCACGTGTGTTGCGTTGCTGAACGCCGGAGGGTTGTCATTGACGTCCGTGATGGTGACGGTCACGATTGCGGTCGACGAGAGCCGCGGCGTGCCCAAGTCGTTTGCAACAACAACAAAGCTGTAGTGTTGCTGCCTCTCACGGTCCAGGGCGCCAGAAACGAGAACGCTTCCATTACCTGTGACATTGAATAGCGAACTGGAGCTGCTGTTCAGCGCATACCGGGCCTGGGCGTTCAACCCAATGTCCCCGTCGGTTGTCATCAACTGGAGGATGTCGGACCCGACTGCAACGTCTTCTGGCAGCGTCACGTTGTACTGCGTGGTGGTACTGGAACCGAGCACAAACTGCGGATGGTTGTCGTTTGCATCAGTGATGTTGACTGCTACTGGCACCGTAAAAGCTCGCGGTGGAACGCCTTTGTCAGTGGCAGTGACCGTGAATTGCCACAGGTCCGATGTCTCTCGATCGAAGACGGCGGCAGAGGAGATTGTGCCGCTGTCCGGGTCAACACTAAAAAGAGCTCCCGCTCCCGTGGTGCTCAGTGAGTACACGAGCTCTGAGTTCAGCCCGACATCATTGTCCGTGGCTGTCACCGTCAATATCGACTGCCCTGCCGCAAGGTTCTCAGGCATTTCCCCTCCGTAGTTTGCTTGACCGAACGCTGGCGTCTCGTCGTTCACATCACCAAGTGTGATGGACAGGCAAGTGGTTCCGTTACGTCGCGGACCGTCGGCACTGCTGTCCGTTGCCACGACTACAAGAACGTAGACTGGCACCGACTCGCGGTCCAGTAAAGCAGTGCTCCCGACGATTGCCGTAAGCGGATCGACCGAGAAATGCGATGCGCTCTGCCGTGCTACGATGCTGAACTGCATGTGGCACTGCACCGCCTTCACCGCACACAGTTGCAGACACTCGGTCAAGTTCTGCGGACTGACGAGCGCATTGGTTAGGTTCGCGTTGGCCCCGGCGTCGGCGTCAGAAGCCAGCACGGTTACAACAGGCGTGGCAACACTCGCATCCTCCAGCACCGACGCGTTGACATCGGCGCTGGGAAACACGGGTGAATTGTCGTTGTAGTCCAGCACTGTTACGATGGCCAGTGTGTCCGCTGATTTGCCACCCCCGTCCGTGGCTCGCACAGTAAAGACGTAGCGCGAGTAGCGCTCCCGATCCAGATTGCCTATCAAGAACACCGCCCCGGTGGTGGTATTCACGGAAAACTTGCTGGCCGCATCGTCAGACCCGGAAAAGATCGGCTGGTAGGAGAGTACATTGCCATTTGACGTAGAGTCGGCGTCCGTGGCTGTCACCACGAACATGGCCGAGTTGATTGGCCATGTCTCGATGACCGAGATGGTGTACGAGGCGTTCGCGAACACGGGCGCGTTGTCGTTTACATCCAGCAGGTGTATGCTGACCAGCGTGCTGGCGTTGAGACGATATCCCGGTGGTGCTATGTCTTGGGCCAGAACTGTCAGGTTGTAAGACTTGACCGTCTCAAAGTCCAGACTTTGGTTGACCGCTACGGCGCCGGTCAGCGGACCAATGCGGAAGTGACCGAGCGCGTTGCCGGGCTGGATTGAGTAGGAGGCGGTGGCGTTTTTGGCAAAGTCGCGGTCAGTCGTGTTTACCCGCAGAACCTGGAAACCGACTCCACTGGACTCAGGGATAGACACAGTATACGGTACACCTACAAACACAGGCGCAAACTCATTGACGTCCAGCAGATCGACACTGACCGTGACGTTCTGCACCTGGCGGGGAATTCCCTGATCAAATGCCTCGACGATGAGGTCGTAACGAGTCATGAGCTCGCGGTCCAAGGAGCTACTGGTCGTGATCCACCCGGAGGTGACGTTGACAGAGAAGACCGAGCCTGGATTGCCACCAACGATTGCATACTTGACATCGCGATGAGGAAAATGCACGTCAATATCCATGGCCATCACGTGAACAATGGGCGTGCCTATTGGCGCATCCTCACTCACGTTGGCTCTGTAGCTCGACTGCCCAAACATCGGTCGGTTGTCGTTGTTGTCCAGGACGGTCATGTAAAGTCTGACATCAGTGTACAGACCTCCACCGTCGGTGGCGCGAACAACAATTTCATATCCTGAGCGCGTCTCGACGTCCAGCTTCCGGAGCAGGGTAATCTCGCCGCTCGTGTTACACATTCCAAAATGTCCGTCTAGATCAGTGCTGATAATGCCGTACGTCACGTAACCGTTCAGGATGGTGGAGCGTTGGTTGGCAGGGTCCGCGCTCAGATCAATCTGGTCCAGGTCAGTCGCGTGCACGGTTACAAGCGTGGAGCCTAGCGTAGCGTTCTCGTGCACGCTCACGGCGTACGAGGGCCTGTCGAATACTGGATAGTTGTCATTGATGTCGATGACTCTGATGCTGAGGCTAGCCGTGGCTTGCATGCCGGGATTACCACCGTCCTGCGCAACAATCCTGAGAAAGTACTCCCGGTGCTGTTCCCAGTCTAGGCTGCCCGCCTGAAACACTTGACCAGATTTGCTATCGATCCGGAAAGTGTGATAGTCAAAGTTACCTCCGCCGGCTGCCTGATCATTGATCAGGCCGTACGTCAGGTGGCCGCTGCTGCCAACGTCCGCGTCGGTTGCTACTGCCGTCACAATAGGTGCCGTAAGAGATAGAGTGTTGTTCTCAAACAGCGACACAGCGTACGCACTGGGCGCGAATATCGGCTGATTATCATTAGCCTCGGTTAGTATGAATGTGAGTGTGGCTGTATCGGACCGGACGTTGTCCGCGCGATAATTCGATGCGGTGAGGTCCAGCGAGTAGTTTTTCGCTCCAGTGTCGTAGTCTAATGACGTTCCCAAACGCACGCTGCCAACGAAGTCGACAGCAAATATGTTCTGTTGCGGTTTGGGCGCCTCCCACTCGACGTGATAGTTGGCGAAGACCGTGTCTCGATCCTCCACTCTCATCTTAGTGATGAAGAATCCGTGGCGACCAACCTGACGCTCGGCAATTTCGGCGGCAATGGTGGACGCGCCCAGGACCGGCGCGTAATTGTTTTCGTCATTCGACACCGTTATCCTCACCTGTGTGTACTGCGTGACCTGCGTTGCCGTGTCGACCAGGCGCAGCACAATGTGGTAGTAGGACTGGCGTCTGACGTCCAGTCCACTGTTTACAACCACTTGTTTGCTGGACGTCACCGCCTGGAAGTCAGTGACGCCGGCAGTGTCGATTGCCAGGGAGTAGCTGCCGGAGCCCGAAATCGAGATCGGCGCGGCCCTGTTCGAACTCTTCGTTGTCTCTGGAATGGTGGACGTGATGTCGATGGCGTCGAATCGCGGCCCGCTGGACAGATCTTGCACGAAGAATGTGACCGAGGCCGTTGCGGTGTGCAGGCCATCACTGACGCTGAGCTGCAGTGTCAGGGTCTGACCGAGCAGCGTGCCGGCGTCCACCGATAGAAGCAGGCGAGCGACACCGCCGACTTGGGTCAGTGTCATGGATGACGACGCAGTGCCACCCGTGACGGTGTAGTGCAACTGCGAGCTGTAGTCAGCGTCCACCGCCTTGACGACGAACGCATCGTCGCCCTGCGTGCGCACCGACGGGATTGTCTGGCGGTACGTCTGCGGGCTGAACACGGGCGGGTTGTCGTTGGCATCCTGCACCATGAGGTACAGAGAGCCGCTGCCAATGAGCGCCGGACTGCCCCCATCGTACATGTGAATATACACGCTATACAGATGTCTCGTCTCGGCGTCGACATTGCCCTGCAGTAGTATGGCGCCGGTACTCGATTCCACCCTGAACAGCCCCTCGTCGTTACCGCCGGCAATAGAAAAGGTGACACGTCCATTAGGTCCCTTGTCGCCGTCTACGTACGGCACATACCCGACGATGTCACCCACCGTCAGAGTCTCGTTGATGTGGACGGTTGGCAACACACTCGGCAAATGCGGCCGGTTGTCATTCAGATCCAGAACGGTAATAGTCACGATGACAGTGTCTGTGGCCGGCGCTGAGGACGCACTATTGTTAGCCACAACGGTCAGGCTGTACACCTCCTGTTGTTCTCGGTCGAGCGCCTTGACGGTGTGCACAACACCACTCGACGCGCTCACGGCAAACCGGCCAGCGCTGTTCCCGGCCGTGATACTATACGTCACAAAACTGTTGTCGCCGATGTCGGGATCCACAGCGTGGACACACGTCACCACCGTTCCCCCTGCCGTGTTTTCCGTAATGGTGGCGTTGTACGACACGTTCACAAACTTCGGCGGCGAGTCGTTGACGTCGGCGATGGTGACCTCGAGGCGAGACACTGTGCTCAGCGGAGGCACGCCGCTGTCGGTGATAGTCACGGTCAGATTGTAGATATCCACGGTCTCTCGGTCCAGAATGCCGTTAACGCTCACCAGGCCCGACTTGGGGTCGACCGAGAACGGGGCTGGGTCGGTCGCCGTCGCTATCAGTGCGAACGTCAACTCGCCGTTACTAGTAGCGTCCAGGTCGGTGGCGTTCAGCTGTACGACGCCGGAGTTGTTCTTGGTGTCCTCGGGCACGGTGACCGTGTACACTGGACTGCTGAACACCGGGTGATTGTCGTTGACGTCGATCACCTTCACACGGCTGTTCGTACGCGGCCATCTAACAATATGGCGGCGATTTTTGTCGAAAATCGCGTTTATGCGATTTTACACAGGAAATTGCCAATACCAGTGGAATTATTAGAAAACAGAGGGAATAATGATAAAAACATACGGCAAAGCAGGTAAAACCCAAATAGATCAAAGCAGCGCGAGCTGGAAACTTCAACTAAAAAAAGTTCAAGTCAGTTGTTGTTCGTTCAAACAACAAAGCTTTCTTCAAGAAGTTCTTGTTCAGTTCTTTGTTGAGTATTGACGGTGCATCGCGATCTTGATGACGAGGCAAGTGGTCAAGTAGCTGTGTGCCTGTAGAGCAGAAAGATGAAGAAAGCAAACAGTAGGTAGAGAGACTGCACACCCGAGTACATTCCTATGAAGAGTTGCGCCGCAGAAAAAGAAATCCACTCGAGTTCAGGAGAGAGAGAGAGAGCAAATAAAGTTGGTTACTCACGATACTTGCCAGAGATCATGTCGACTGGCGACGTTTTGTCGTGGGACGGTGAATGGCTTGAGGCAAGGTTCGGGACAGATGCTGCTCAGCCATAGCTTTCAGCCTCTGCAGAAGAGCAGGAATCTGGCGGTATCTTCGCTCAAGAGTGTTAAACTCTGCATGGATGCTCTCTGCTCCTTGCTCGGCCAGCAAACCGAGCCCTACTCCGAGCCTCTCCATTGCCGGAGCGGTGTGGCTCTCCAGAAGATGAAGCTTCGGCGTTATGTGGCCAAGCCCTCGATCGACCACCTCCTTCCGTGCTGACTTGAGGAAGGTCCTGATGTTGGATTCCAGCTCTTCAACCTCTGCTCGTGTGACCTGGAATAAACAGCACATATTAAATATCAGCTCTGGATCAAATATTCATAATCAAATTCAGAGTACCTGCATCGAAAGTGGAATCATGTGGATAATGGAATTTGATGGCTTGGAACAGACGAAAAAGCTCCCAGGGAATAAATAGTTATATTGAGTTATGTTTACCTTCCTGCAATGGCCAAAGGCAGAAGTACACTTCCTGTACTCGTCCAGCAGCTTCATGTAACGCAACTGGACAACGCTGGCATCATCCATCAGGTCGGGACAGCGTTCCTGAATTACTGAGATGGGAGCAGCAGCAATCGACTGCAGGACAGCGGGCTGAAGTGCGCGGTGCACGTGGTTTCCGATAAATGCACCTCCGTGGTACACCTGGCGCTTGATGTTGTGGGATTGCAGCACAGGTTCGACTGCCGATTCACAAGGCCCACATATGTCTTTTTCAGCAGTTGCGGCAAGTATCTGCTGCGAGATGCCCTCCTTTGCATTTGTCATCTCCACGACTGTGTCATTGGCCTTCTGCCACTCCGCTCTGATCTGCTCACACACGAACTCTAAGTTACCGCCAGTAACACCCTGGTTGTGGGCATGCAGTGCTACGTAGTTCAGCTGCTGCTGGTAACCAGAGGCCTGTTCCGACGCTGCTGCTATCTGCTCTTCTGCGTCGTGATGGTCGCGATAGAGGCCAGATAGCCGTCCGAAAGCGTCGCTATCTCCAGCAGCAGACTGGGCCTTGCTGGCCAAGAGCTTGTCCAGCTCACGCAGATCCTTCAGCATTGCATCGAACATCCAGGCAAATATGCCCAAGTCCAGGTGGAGGACTGGCACGATGACGTTGGGTAGTGGCACAGGAAGGATTGCCGGACGAATGACGTTGTTGTGTAACTTGGCGTTTGGTAATCTCTCCCCGTCTGCGATGAATTCCAGCAGGTTGCTACTGAGGGTGGCCAGGGAGCGGGGTACACTGTCCTCAGGCTCTCTCTGCAATACTGGCGTCTCCATAGATTTCTTCTTGCAGTGGCAATGTAAGCACGGACGTAGGCCACTTGGTCCCGACAACCCGTACATACTACACTGAAACTCGTAGTCTCCGAAGATGAAGAGGACGAGCCGCTTCCCCTCCCATTTGCCATGTGAGATAAGGTGCAAGACCTCATCGCGGTACATACCAAGTGCAGTTTCCAGATTCGCTGGCGTGTCCTTTGCGTGGAATACACACAGCGGTACGGTGTTGTCCGGCGAGTTGGGGTGCTGCAGGTTGGCTACTTGCATGGAGAACTTGAACGAGTCACCGCCATGGTCCCCGCCCAGCTTTATCCAAACCTCGCTCTCCGGTATTGCACCATCGTGCCATGTCAGTAGCCCACGATCCTTGTATAGCTGGAGGTAGTGGTTGATGACTACCTCCAAGCTGGGCATGTACACCACCGGTGCCAGCGCGATCTGCTTTTTCACCACCATTGGCACGTCCTTGGCCGTGTAGGGTGGAAGGGCTGCTGCTAGTGTTGTTCGCATCTTGCGTTCTGACTCGAACTTCACTCCACACTGCTTAAGCCATTGCCGCAGCTTCCTGAGTTGATTCCACGGGAGCATGAGGTCGGCTTTGATGGCCAAGCCAATTCCAGCCTCGGGCGAATGTGGTGCCAACCCAGCCTCTCTGAGGAGATCCATCTGCTCGTCGCTGCTCATCCTGCGAAGAATTGCTACAGTCTGGGCACTGGCGCCGGCACTTCCACCACATACAGACTCAGTGAGCGACCTCAGTTCTGCTGTTCGCCGTCTCTTCGTACGTTCACTGGCTGCCTCGGAGGATGTGTCAGCGAATGTAAGCCTTTGATATACCTGCGGTCTGCCACGCTCACTTTGCTTCACCTCCAGCTTCCCTGAGTCAGAACGAGCGGAAACCAGGTGGCCAAGCAGCCTGTCAGCAGTATCACCGCGGAGCTTGGATGGTGATGCGTCCAGGACTTGAGCGATTGTAGCCGATTTGGTGACCGGACGTGTCAGTCCTTGCTGGGTTAGTGGTGTAGACACCTGCAACGACGCCAATAAACAAGTAGAACCACCACGCTGTTGACTACTGTGGTTGGCAAGGAATTTTGCCACATGCAGTCCATTTTGCTCTATCATTCCCTTTCTTTATATTCAGTCCATTGCGAAGCTCATTTCTTTTCTGTAATATCTCCACTATCTAATCTGACAATTGCTGTTTTAGTTTTAAGACCTGGTTGGATTGGATACACAGACTGCTCTATAACAGAGATACGCACCTGTGTGGATACTGATGCGCGTGTGTCGATAGATATCTCGGGCTCATGTGGTGCTGGCAGCTGCTGCTGTGAGGTACTGCTTGCCGTGGCCGTTTCAAAGATCTGCACAGATATAATAGTAGTATACACAGTTGTGTTTCATGGAATGCTGTACCATACTACTGCTGAGAATGGTTATCTGCATGCGTAGGACTCGACTGAATTCACTTCTTTTGTATAGGTGCCTACAAGCATTGATTTTGATGTATGTCTGCTGCCGTTGAACACTGTGTTGTGTGTGTTCGTGTTTGCATGTGTGTGCGTGTGTGTGTGTGCACGCATGTGTGTGTGTGTGTGTGTGCGCGCATGTGTGTTCATTCCCAATTTTGTTTCATCAATTTCTGCTTGTATACCTGAGTGTCTGCTGTTGTTTCACCGACAACGGTTGTACTGGGCGTAGCCGATACGGACTGCTGCGCACAGGGAGCTGGTGTGGCTGCTGTTGTGTTCTGTGATTGTGATACAGACTGTTCGGCACTGGTAGTCTGTTCAGCTGTAGCTGCACCACGCGTTAATGATGCCGGCTGTTCGACGGTGCGAGTCTCGATCCCCGCGGCTGGGGCTGGGACCTGTTATGAAGACAGAGAATTAATATAAAAAGCATTACATCCATGATTAGGCTCTGACATGTTGCTTTTTGCACATCCAAATTTGACCACACTTACCTGCGTTGGTACTGCCGTAGCCTGGCTGGTTCCCGTGTCTGGTAAGGCTCCGCCGCGCAATTTGGTCTTTTTCTTCGGCGGCCTTCCACCCTTTGAGCGTTGTTGATACAACTTACAGACAGTGCAACCAGCACGTTTGTGACCTTCCCATGTGACTGGTGACCCACAACCACCTCCACAATGCTGTGTGCCAGATGCATTCCTTGCCAGTGCACGTTGGCATAGCGAACATATGTATTTAGGGTGTGTATCAGGTTTGTCTTCTGTGATGTCGATCTGGTGAACTTGTTTTAATTGCTCTTTATATTGCTGAGTGCTATAGCGCATGCTGTGGCCTAGATTAGTGAACTTGGCACCACCAACACGACATACTGAGTCCAAAATGGACAAATGTTCGTCCATGACTGCCCACTAAAGATATCGCACGGGACCAAGTTCCGCTGCGTGGGACTCAACAAGTCATGAACAAAGGGGCTAAAAAAGGCCAGGAGCAGCCTACAAAACTGCCCAGCAGGCTCAGAAAACTCCACGAAGGTCTACAGAGACGTCGGTATTGTAGACAATCACAATATCTTCGTGGAACTACATTTCCGCCATGCGCGACCTCAAGAAAGACGGAACACTTTCGGATTTTCTCGAGTGCGATGTCAGGAAGAAGGCCGTTCTTTCTCCTCGCCCAAACACCAATTTTTTCTGCGGGAAAGTTACGATTAACGCTGAAAACGGGTCTGAAAGCAATCGAAATACTCTAAAACGATGCTATTTTTCAGGTACGACGGACGTACCAGATTTGAAAATTCAAATTTCTGGACGCCATTTTGGATGGCCACTGATCGCATGCACGGGACAGCCGTGTTCAGTGTAGCGTTGGTGGTGCTGGACAGCGGCGGAATGCCGCGGTCTTCGGCACGCACCACAATGTAGTAGGTGTGCTGCACCTCGTAGTCGAGCGCGCGCACGAGCGTTATCTCGCCGGTGCGCGGGTCGATGCGAGCGGCGTGGCGCGTGTCGTCGTCGACGATACTGTACCAGACGGTGCTGTTGTGCAGGTCGGGATCCGTGGCGTTCACGTACCCGGCGCTGTTGCCCTGCATGCCGGCCTCGGCAATGCTCACCACATGAGGCCCGGGGCCAAAGTCGGGCGGCGAGTCATTCACATCGTCGAGCGTGATTACGACGCTCGCCGTGCCGGTTAGGCTGGGCGAGGCCGTGTTGATGGCACCAACCGTCAGATTCACAACGGCCAGCGTCTCGCGGTCCAGCGGCCGCTTGTTGCGCAGGCTTCCTGTGAGCGGGTCGATTGCAAACCAGTTGCGCACGTCGCCGGCCAGGATTTGGTAGCGCAGCACTCGGTGGGTGACATCAACATCGGCATCGCTGGCCGTGACCGTCAGTATGGTGGTGTTGACGGGCACGTCCTCGCTCACAGTTGCACTGTACTGTGACTGGCTGAACACGGGCACCAGGTCATTGTAGTCACGTACGTCGACTTGCAGGGTGGCGTTGCTGGTGAACACGCCATCGCTCACCCACATGATGGCACGCAGACCGGGCAGAGTCTCGCGGTCGAGCCGTCGTACCAGCGTTACGTTCCCAGTGGCCGGTGACAGGTGGAGGTACCCTAGAGCCGCCGCACCACCACCACCGCTTGCTGCCTCTGTCATGTTGTACGTTAGAGTGTTGCCAACGTCAGCATCAGTGGCTGACAGACGGAATAAAACCGAATTCTTCTGCAGAAGAAATACAGAAACACATGCAGAACAGCTCTTACAAAATGGTGGGGAGCAAATGTTTGTCTATAGAACAGTTCTTGCTGGAAATTTTCATTCTTTTAAAGGGGAAGTTAAGGCAACGAGAGAGCTTGGAAGCTCAGGGCCCTACGCTATGCTTTTTTTCCTTGATGACCTAGACAAAAAAAGCATAGGGATGTTATAAATTCTTTAAAAAATTCCTTTTTTTAAGACATAACCTGGGATTCGAACCCGCACTATCGCGCCCTGTATGCATCCCTGGTCTTTAAAAAATTCCTTTTTTTTAAGACATAACCTGGGATTCGAACCCGCACTATCGCGCCCTGCATGCATCCCCCGATACACTTCGCATACATACTAATTCTTCCAAGTTGCTTCACATTATGATCTTGCATTTGAAAGCCCTATTTGAATATGCATTGTGGCCAGCCGTCTTTGAATGTACGATACGGTAGGGATAGGTACGGGACAGGTACGATCGAGGGTAATACGACACCGTCTCCCGAACCGTACCATCAAACACAGCTGGCCACATACAGCTGCCCGCAATATTCAAATAGGGCTTTCAAACGCAAGATCATAACGTGAAGCAACTTGGAGAATGGGTATGAATGCGAAGTGTATGGGGGAATGCATGTAGGGCGATAGTGCGGGTTCGAATCCCAGGATATGCCGGAAAAAATAGGAGAATTGAAAATTTTTTAACACCCCTATGATTTTTTGCCGTCAGATACGGGATAGCGCCAGGCGTGACACAAACAAACAAACAAATACACAAACAAACAAATACCAAATTAAGGAGGTTCGCGACGGTTAGCGCCATGTTGGATTTCCGAATTTTTTTCTGAAAAATAATGCCTTTCGGAGTGGAAAAATGGGACGCGATCATGCACAGAAAATAGTTTGCCATGACTTCGCAGTGCTCGAGTCGGGACAAGATTTGGAGGAAGAAGCTCAGCCACTAGTGGACTTGCGGATTTGTTTTGACATTGGCGGTTTTTGGATAGCTCGGTTCTCCTGCCGACGTGTCCTGGAGATGAAGACGCGGGAGAGTAATTCGTCACCCACGACGCGGCTTCTCATTCTGCGTACTGGACGATGCAAGAAGCCGAGGAGGGGGACGCTTCGCAAACTCAAACGATCGATCGAGTTCCTGAAAAACGGAAAGGGCGATCTCCATCACTAACGCCACTGGATTCGACTCCCGCGAAGAGGTCGTTCAGTGCCCCTCTTCACGGTCGACGAATCGTTCATCTCAGGTATCTGGCTGTGGGATTGTCTGCGTGCCAGAATCCTGGATGTGGCAAACCTCTGGCGCTCATTGATTGCGTTGAAGAGAAGAGGTACGACCTGGGCAGCGTACTTGTCATTCCGTGTCAGCAGTGTGGGATGGAGAATTTTATAGATACAGATAGCCCTGTAACTGCTCAACACCCTGGCCCCCGTGCTTCCACAAGCAACACCAAAGCTGCTTTGGGTAAGTGCGTTTTTCAATCTCATAAGATTTATTCATGATATTTGGGAGTCATTTCCACCCTATGGCTATGAAAATGTATGAGCACACTGTATGCGCGGCGGCCGCGAGCGTCTGTGTGTTTGCATAGACCTGCATGTTGTGCATGTGTGCACCATACGCATGTATGAACATGCACATGCATATGCGCTCATGTGGACGTGCCCTCGCACACATACTATACACACGTGCATGACCGCTCCCAGGGCATGTTGCAGATTGTTGGTGTTACATGTCATGTGTATGCGGGCATATCCACTCATGCACATGAGTGTGCACATGCATGTGGGTGGGTACGCACACGTGCGTGAATGTATGTGTGTGTGTACGCGCGCGTGTGTTCTATTGCGTGTGAGAGCATGCATGTGTGTGTGTGTGTGTGTGTGTGTGTGTGTGTGTGTGTGTGTGTGTGTGTGTGTGTGTGTGTGTGAGGCTAAAAATAGTGGCGGTCAATTCATCAGCCTTGCAAGCTGTTGAATGGTGTAATCCCAGCACAAGTTGCTATGTCTAACATAGCTGTTCGCTATCATCGCTCCCGCGATGGGCATGTCTGAGGTCTGAGGTGTGTGTGTGTGTGTGTGTGTGTGTGTGTGTGTGTGTGTGTGTGCACGGATGTGTGTATCGATGGTGTGCATTTTTGTGATTGGTGAACACTCTGATCCCTAAACCGCGATACCGGAGCTCGCAAGCTACAGCCTCAGATTGATTTATAGTTCATCGTTGGGAATGAGTTCGCTGCTCATGATGCTGTTGCGGATGTTGCGGCCCTAGCTGAAATTGTCGAAGCTCGCCCTGATGCCAGTATCCTGTAGTACTCTGTCACTTTTACATCAGCATGTTTGGCGATGGAGTTTGCAGAACATCAGCAAAAGCGGCTGGCCACCCTTCAACCGTTGGTCCAAGCAACATGCTTCTCTAAATCAGTTGCAGTGCGGGCAGCTGCCAATGGGTTGGTGATGAAGCACTTTGTCTTGTCCTACAAACGAAGTGGTGAGCCAGCCATTTCCAGACTGATGAAGGAGCAAGTCGGAGGTAAGAAGCGGGTGACAGTCTCAAGAAAGATTATATTAGTGGTGGCTGAACACCTAGCGAAGAACCAGCAGCAACCCAACTGTAAGGAACGCCCTGTGGCACAGGGCTTCACTTGTTTGTGCGCACCGTAAAATACCATCATTTTTGCCAGTGTGGGGACACGTTCTAGCTCGCATAGTTGAAGAACAAGAGGACTCAATGTTGTCTGATTCGTTCCAACATGTCAGCTTTCATTGTAGTTTGATATGGGGCAGTGCTAAGCGCTATCATAGCTACATGTACATGTACATGTATCACAACAAAGTGCCAACAGGAAAGTAATCATGGAGAAAAGTACCTATCGATAATGCATGCACCCAGGGTTTTCCGGCAAATTTACTAGTTCAGCTACCGTAATGTCGCGTGCATTAGCCGGGGCTTATATGCCTATAAGCCGGTGATGGAGTCAGGCTTGTACACAAGACAGGCTTATACACGAGACAGGCTTATATGACAAGCACCACTCAATGACCAGGCTTGTATGCGCAAACTGCTGACTTTTGGACGTCAAAACCAACATTTTCCAACGGGATTTTTTTTCTTTTTTTTCGCTCCCTGAACCGCGTCCCCCCTCTCCTTTCTCTCTCTCTCTCTCTCTCTCTCTCTCTCTCACACACACACACACACACACACACACACACACACACACAAACGAACAAGCCAACTCATCAAACACCAGCAGCTTCACAGTAGAGTTCAACTCCTTTTCAGGTCATGAGGTGTGGAGTACGATGATAAAGAACATGCTCGTACATGGTGCCGTGAGAATGAGAGGCAAGCAACAGGATGTGCACGCACAGAGTGAGACAAGTGTCAGCTATCGATACCAGTCTTGCGTAGTAGCCCGGCTTACGCACGCGACACGTGGCGCGTCTCGTGTACTAGCCCGGCTTATGCATGCGACAGGCTTGTACGCGAAAAGCTGTTGCAGATTTCATGCTTCTACACGAGACAGGCTTATGCACAAATCCGGCTTATGCACGCGACATTACGGTATTCCATCCTTGTATTGTTCTGAACGCCGAGGGCTCTAGTGAGTTTATGCAACACCTAACAGTCAAAAATCCAATAAGTTATGACCAAAGCAGCAGCAGAGAAGTACAAGCAATATAGATACGTGAATTTACCAATTTTAGGCAAATTTTGACAGTTTTTGGATTTTTCTCCAGAATATGCACGGTCACCCCTATTTTCGCCGCGGTAAACCTGTTCCAACCCACTTATAGAACGTATTTGAAGTATCCACATATGGGGCAAACTCAAAAATAAGCTGCAAAAAATATTCAAAGTTTCATTTTTTGCGTCTTTTTGTTCTTCTCCAGGAAATGACGACCTGGATCCCATCGTCAACCAAAGTGTACATTTTTCGGTGTTGACATCATCTTAGTCAATACCTCGAGCAGTCTGTAAAATTTTATGTCATATTTTCTGTCCTAACTGATGTTATGGACGATTTCTCATCAATTTTGGGATTTTGTGTTATTTTGTGTCATCAAGGAAAATTGTGTTTTTGGCAAGACCTATTCGGGCAATTGAAAAACTGATGTTACTAAGCGAAAATATAAGGCTGTACCTATTCAAACCTGATGTCAGATTGGGCTGATGTTGAAATTAAATGTTTGGGCCTAACTGTCCCGAACCCCCTTAAAGCTGTGTGGACCCTGGCTAGCGCCAAACGTTACTGAAGTAACGTCTTCTGCATAGCTACGGGAAAAATTAAAATTTCACCAGTTGTAGTCTTCGGGGTGCTGAGTCGAATGGTCTTGGTCCGAGAAAGCTGCGACGCTCCCTTCCTACTTGAATCCCAATCGAACTCGCGCACTTCCACCGAAATTGGGTGACTGCGCCCTACTAGATGGGGATTTGTATGCAAAATGTCACTAAAAGCGCCATTTCGTAAAAGCACCGGATGACCGCGATTGGCCCATATGTTGTAGTCTTTTGGACACGGAGTCGACTGGTTTTGGTCCGAAAAGGCTGCGAGGCTGCGATGTAGCGTTCCTCCTTTATTCCCAATCGAACATGGTTGAACAAGTGGTCACGTGCTCCTGGGTGCCCAAATCACCTGGTCACCACGCCAGCAGGCGACAACTTTCACACCAAGGTTCAACTCGAGTTCAACTCGAGTGACAGGACTGCACCCAAAAAAGGTCAAACAGGCTAGTAAGTTGTACAGTACGGATCGGCTGTAGCGTTGGTGTTTGATTTTCGTGAATATATCACTATAGGCGATACATGTATATTACTATAGGCGATAATGCATACTTAAGTATGCCTGACAAATGCGTGTATGGTGTCATTTGAATCAGTGCAGCGTGCAGAAGCGTGCTGTGCATGTGACTGTACAATACGCGCAGTGCAGAGCTACATGTACTTCCCGCGGAAACAAAAACTTCATGACCTTTTGACATGTGTTTTCAAGGAGTTGCTGTGCTCAACAAATGTGTTCTTTCGGAAGAGAAACACTTCAACACATTCAATCGACATATCAACAATATCTACAGGATCGATTAGTGGGAGTAGAGTCTCAGTCTGGGTCACCATCACTCGACTCATCACCGCTGAAACCGTTCCAAGTGGCAGGTCGATCGACGCGTAATGTCGTATGGCACGGAGAAGCTTCTCCGCGTCCCTGATCGTCTCGCTGTTACCTTAAAGGGGAAGTTAAGGCAAACATTAAAATTTCACCAGTTGTAGTCTTCGGGGTGCTGAGTCAAATGGTCGTGGTCCGAGGAAGCTGAGACGCTCCCTTCCTACTTGAATCCCAATCGAACTCGCGCACTTCCACCGAAACTGGGTGACTGCGCCCTACTAGATGGGGATTTGTATGCAAAATGTCACTAAAAGCGCCATTTCGTTCTTAGAAAAGCATGGATGACCGCGATTGGCCCATATGTTGTAGTCTTTTGGACGCTGAGTCGATTGGTTTTGGTCCGAAAAGGCTGCGATGCAGGGTTCCTCCTTTATTCCCAATCGAACATGGTTGAACAAGCGGTCACGTGCTCCTGGGTGCCCAGATCACCTGGTCACCATGCCAGCAGGCGACAACTTTCACACCAAGGTCCAACTCGAGTGACAGGACTGCACCCAAAAAAGGTCAAACAGGCTAGTAAGTTGTACCCTGCAGGCACGGTGGCCAGGTGACTGGCGTACGCAGAAGCACGTGACCGCTTGTTCAACCATGTTCGATTGGGAATAAAGGAGGAACGCTGCATCGCAGCCTTTTCGGACCAAAACCAATCGACTCAGCGTCCAAAAGACTACAACATATGGGCCAATCGCGGTCATCCATGCTTTTATAAGAACGAAATGGCGCTTTTAGTGACATTTTGCATACAAATCCCCATCTAGTAGGGCGCAGTCACCCAGTTTCGGTGGAAGTGCGCGAGTTCGATTGGGATTCAAGTAGGAAGGGAGCGTCTCAGCTTCCTCGGACCACGACCATTCGACTCAGCACCCCGAAGACTACGACTGGTGAAATTTTAATTTTTGCCTTAACTTCCCCTTTAATGGCAATAATGCCTTCACCAACATCTCGGCGGAGACCACGGTAGCGCTTCAGCGCTGTTACTCATTACTGCCTCCGATCTCGCTCGAGGATGCCCTCGGAACAACAAGCACAACCAACGCCAAACATTTCGAATTTCCTCCGAGGGATATCATAGTCGTACCAGCGCTTCCTGGCTGCCGCGATCAGATCTCGCCATGTACGATGTATAATTGTTTATGATCATCACTATAGCCGATGAAAAATGTATGCAATAAGATCATTTTGACAAAGAAATCGTATCATTATAGCCGATATATTACTATAGCCGATTATTACTATAGCCGATCTGATATGTATAGAAAGGGGTGGTTTACGAAAATGAATTTGAGAATACGATCACTATAAGAGGTATATTGCTATAGCCGACAACCCTATAGCCGATCCGCACTGTAGCCTGCAGGCACGGTGACCAGGTGACTGGTGTACGCAGGAGCACGTGACCGCTTGTTCAACCATGTTCGATTGGGAATAAAGGAGGAACGCTGCATCGCAGCCTTTTCGGACCAAAACCAGTCGACTCCGCGTCCAAAAGACTACAACATATGGGCCAATCGCGGTCATCCGTGCTTTTATAAGAACGAAATGGCGCTTTTAGTGACATTTTGCATACAAATCCCCATCTAGTAGGGCGCAGTCACCCAGTTTCGGTGGAGGTGCGCGAGTTCGATTGGGATTCAAGTAGGAAGGGAGCGTCTCAGCTTTCTCGGACCAAGACCATTCGACTCAGCACCCCGAAGACTACAACTGGTGAAATTTTAATTTTTGCCTTAACTTCCCCTTTAAAGTTATAAATACACGTATACATGACTACTGGCCTGAGACGTGTGTGAGAGGTGAAGGCAGTGAACTCAAGGTTTTGTGGAATTTTCGTGATTTTTGCTTCAGGAAAGGCAAGGAAGGAAAGGGCAAACAACCATTCAGAATTCAGACAAGCTTGAGATCTCTGTCTACAGCTCGTATCACATGTTCAGTAGAACTCCCCCTATTCGGGCAGGTTGGGACCGGGCACTGGCCGTAACTAGAAATTGCCCGCAACTCAGATCATATACTTCGTGTGTGCAATAGGGTGTCAAGGAACACTTGTTTTATGCCTTTCAAAAATATTTGGTGCCATTTTCCATAGAAAAGCCCGGTTTTATGACTGCTGATGGGTAAAAAAGGTGACAGGTAAACGAGAGTGCCCCGGATAAGGGGAGTTTTACGGTACTGTCTTTAGGACAAACACCAGGGGACGATGGTATTCGTTTGCAAAACGGGAGTTCTTCTTTTACCGTATTTGTCGGAGTATAGTGCGCACCTTTGTATAATGCGCACCCCCAATCTTCATTGGGGGTGCGCACTTCAATCTTCATTGAAATTCATGCATTTCATATTCGGAGCATAATGTGCACCCGCGATTTAGGGCCTAAAATAGCACGTCTAAAGTGAGCAATACTCCGGAAAATACGGTACACATTAATGTGTATACACTGATTTGAGGGAAAGACACAAACGGGAAAAGCCTGAAGAAAAATTGACTCTTACCACCAGGATGCAAACCAGGGACCTTCGCTTGAGGCCAGCGATGCTCTAACCACTGAGCTAAGGTGTAGCCGTTTAATTTTTATACCCAGTGAATACCCAGTGAATACCCGTGAATACCCAGTGAATACACCGTGATTTATCCAATAGAGTTATACATACTACTGTAAAGTGAGAAACTTTCGCTAGAGATTTAATTTCGCTATTTTCGCGACCATCACACATTCGCGAATATAAATCGCCGCAAACCTCTCTGTACATTGATTGTAGTCAGTACAAGATCCGACTGAAGAGATAGAATCGCAAAAGTTTCTCATCGTGAACCAGCTCAATTTATGAAAACCCTAAATTTGCGCGCCGCGAAAGTTTGTCACTTTACAGAAGTTCTAGTTTTTCAAAAGCGAAAGTTTCTCATATCAGTGTTCTTGTTTTAACGATGTTTCACTCTATGTGCATCCCGGAGGCTGGCTGCTTACCAGTGTGGCCTCGGACACATTGTACACCAGCAGAGAGCTGCTGAACAGAGGTGCATTGTCGTTGATGTCCACAGCGCTGACAGCAGCCCAAACTGTCGCAGTGAAGCCCGCAGCATCCGTCGCTTCCACCGCCAGTAGATATGCGGCAGTCATTTCTCGATCAAGCGCAGCAGCCACCCTGATATCACCACTGTTTGTGTCGACACTGAAATGTCCTTGTGCATTGCCAGCTACAAACCTGAAGGGCATACAACAAAGGAAGGAATGCAGAAAGACAGTCTTTGAGTCAGTTTGACTCATTCCAAAAATCATATCAAATACCTCAAAGGTGCGTTGGCCGGTCAGTGTGTGCGTGTGTATGTGTGTGTGTGTGTGTGTGTGTGTGTGTGTGTGTGTGTGTGTGTGTGTGTGTGTGTGTGTGTGTGTGCATGCGTGCGTGCACACACATGCATGTGTGCGTATGCAATGGATCCTGATAGCATGCTCCTGCTTAGTTGCCATCAGGTCACGTTCACCTGTACGAGTACGTACCGATATGTGGAGACAGCGTTGTCACCAACATCATCATCCAGTGCAGACACAGTTAGCACAAACATGCCTAGACTGGCGTTCTCCATGATCGACGCGGTGTAGTTGGCGGTGAAGTATGGCGCCTGGTCGTTGATGTCCGTGACGTACAGAGTGAGATTGGCGCGGCCGGTCAGGCTCGGCACGCCTTGATCCGTGGCAGCTACGGTGATGGTGTATACCGCCTGTGCCTCGCGGTCCAGACCCTGATGCACCGATATCACACCTGACATGCATCGATACATGAGAGGGATGAGCAGAAGAATGACATGGGAGCTGAATTAGGAATACACTACAGCTTTTAAGAATACCGACTGCATCAGTTGTATTTGTCGTTGAATACCTGTACCGGCCATACAATGAGTGCGTTCTATTCATTGATGAGTTGCGAGGTGAACAGTGAGAAGAGCCACACCCGGACGGAGAACAACAAGATTTCCTTAGTGAAACAAACAAATACAGTGTCTGAAGACTTGATTTCCTCCGTGTTATGTGTACACTTCTTCCCGGGTGGGGAAGGTGGCCGGGGTTTGGGATGGCTAGTAAATTTTCCGGCTAAATTTTCCGGCTATGCAGAGTTCAGCCAGTGTTAATTGTCGTTTCAACAATCTAAAAATGGCTAGAATTTCCGGCTTGTTTTAAGATGTTCAAATTCGACTTGCTCACCAGTCAGTGGGTCGATGCTGAACAGACTCGATGGCCAATCGCCCGCATCCAGCGCATAGGTGAAGCTGCCTCCGGCGCCCAGGTCAGGGTCTGTCGCATTGACCTGCATGGCACATGTTGTGTATGCGAGTTAGTCATACTGTATCTACTACACCGTTTGCTACTGTATTGCGCATGCTCGCATATTGTTGTTGTTGTTGCTTTACCTGACCAAGAGTAATGTCTTCCAAATGCTAGTGTTTGTGTGTGCCAGTGAGAATGCATGAATGTAATGGAATGTTAGTCCGCAAGGGGACATAACAGCACATGAGCAGAGCGGCACAAGGCACGAGAGTGTGAAACACTGCGGACGTGTACTCCGACACCGTTTCAAGTTCTGACGCCAGCATCAAGTAAGCTGTCCCTGCGGGAATTTGCGGAAAATCCTCGAAAACTTGCGCAAGAAATTGCGGCAGAAAACAACAAAAAATGCGGCAAAAAGTGCGGAACTTGCCAGGAACTCCCGGAATTATTGGCAGAAAATTGCGTATTTGGGCCAAATCACGAAATTTGTTGTATCCTTAGAATCGCTATTTGCGTACTGTGGAAATAACCTACAAGCAGGATCATGGAAAGCACTGGATACTGCGTGAAAAGTGCAGAAAAATGTTAAAAGAAGTGCAGAAAACAACAACAAAAAACGCGGGAAATCGCGGATTTTTCAGAAAATCGCGGGTTTGAGCCAAAATCGCGAAATTTGTTGCGTCCGTGGAATCGCGATTTCCTGGAGGGACAGAGTAAGGTAAGATACTGGTCAGAGAAATCCAACCTCATGAATAAACTAGTGCCGGGCGCTACACAGTCCTAGCACTGCACATACTGCTCTGCACAGTCCTAGCACTGCACATACTGCTCTGCGCGCTCGAATGCGGCGCTACTTTAGTCATGAGGTTGGATTTCTCTGGCCAGAACACCGTACATGTGCCGAGGTCCGGGAGAACGTATCGTGTCATTGCATCAACAAAAACACATAATATTATGTTAGCAGTTCAAATACTGCTAGCAGATAGTCATCGATGCAAGACATAGAAAACGGAACATTCTCTAACACTGCTTGCAGATGTGAATAACCTACTAGTGGTGTGTGCATTGTGTGATCCTTATCACCCAGTCCACACTACCTCCAGGCCATGTATTGCAGTCAATACTAATATAGACGGTCATTCGTTGTAGCGGGAAGAATTGCCACAATGCAGTTGACGACATTGCCACAATGCAGGACATGATCGCACACGTGTGTATGTTGCCAGAGTCTCTTCATTGTTGGTATGCGTCGCTCTAGGCGGGTCATCATACCTGGTAAATGGTCCGTGGCAATACGCTGCTCAGGTGTTCCTGCAGGTGAGTTTCCATGTTTGACGGAAACGCCGGCGCTACGTCATTGACGTCCGTCACTATTACTGTCAGGTTGGCCAGGGACGTCTTGGGAGGGAAGCCGCCGTCCTTTGCAACCACCCAGAACACGTGCTGTGATCTGAGACAACACAGACAACGCAAAGCGAGGGTGTACCAGCAAGAAGCAAGGAACAAAATACCGGGGTAAGCAGCAGCATTCGGCCCAGCAAGGAAAAAGACAGTGACACGAACTGCTTAAAAATCTGCACGGTTTTTGCAATTGTGTGATGCCACTGTTCGATGGAATGAAACCCAGCGAAAATTAATTCCACTCTGTAGACATTCTATTCAGTCACTCACAAGACAGCCATTGTCCTAAACAGATCTTCTTTAGTTCTCTATCAGAATTGCGCCATGTCATCTCTCTCGTGCTATACATAAAGCGGTACAAGCACGTGCGTACATAGTACTACATACAACTGCATGTACGATATCTACACACTCTACTTCAAGGTAGTACAAATATCTGAAGGAAACTTCAAGACAAGAGCACACACACATCAAAATTTATATGACCGTACCTCATCAAACACCATTGCAGTGTCCATACCATGCCTGCACATCCTTACCTGACATCTCTGTCCAGTGAAGTGGCCACGGACACAACTCCTGTCACACTGTCCACATCAAAGCTCCCTCCCAGCCGGAACAAGTCCGGATCTCCTCGGTGGATCTCATAGGTGATCTCACCAATCTGCGAGTACCAGTGGAGACGGATAGAGAGGATACCCAATCAAGAGCTATCTCCGTTGCTCACTTACTTTGCATATGAACTACGGTATTTTCCCCAATAAATGTGCAGTCCTTTTGTTTTTTCAAAGGTGGTCAGATCTGTACTACTACAGGAGACGTGTACTAGTATTGGAGACTGTACTAGTATTGGAGACGTGTACTTTTATTGATTCTGGAAAGATTGATTGCCTGGGTTGGGTGGTAAACAACTAGTGATAATGATAATGTAAAGCTGTAAATACATGTACATGCAACCATGGTAAGAATCAGTGTACAAAGACACAACGATGATAAACGGGTAAGAAAAACGAAGTAAGGTGGACCCTAGTACCTGGATCCCAGTAATGCCCATCACATCATTCCGGCATGTACTATTATTAGAGACGTGTCCTCTTATATTTTTGATCCACAGTCAACAGGTACTACAATTGGAGACGTACTAGTATTGGAGGCGTGTACATTACTTATGATGGGGAAAATACGGTATGCTGAACGGCCCGACAAGATGAAGTCTGTCTGCATAATCAGCAGCTAACCACTTGCCAACCGCATGACATTCTAGCGAACTGACTTGCTACTCAGTTACTACAGTCTAACTACATAGATAACATACCTGCCTGGAGTCTGCATCAGTGGCAGTGACTTGCAGTATGCTCGTTCCTATGGGCAGAGACTCGTTGACGGTGGCCAAGTAGACGACGGGACTGAACACGGGCGCGTTGGGATTCAGCTCGTGAACTTCCACGACCACTTTCACCGTAGTAGCCCTGCAAGCATAAACAGGAGGGAAAGATTTACACGAACAATGAGTTGGCCAAGTGTGTCAGGATCCTTACCAGATTTGGACGAGCACTCCAGTTTGATACAGAACCAAATTGAGCACTACACACACTTCCCTTTCATGCAGGACTATTCTGATAGCTAAGATTACACACGTAGAGTGACGGGCAAGTTCTAACTTATAAGACGTCACAGTACCATACACACGTGCTCACTGCTCACAAGAGCAAAGGAAGTTGATGGATGCGTGTTTACAGCAATCCACCAAAGACGCATGCACTGCCTAGCCTGGTGGAGGGCCTCAAAACATTCGCTTTTCATGCCAGTACCTAGTCATTTGACTATACATCACACTTAAAAACAACTATGCATACTTGGAGCAAAATCTATTTTGTTGTCATTGTACACTGCATGCAGTAGCACATGTCCGTCCGCAGGTACAACTGAAGTCTGTTACAGCTAGGTGTTGGCGGATAATGCTCGGTAATATGGGATATAATGCTCTCAGTAATGCTCCACAAAAGGCCATATAATGCTCCAAATAATGCTGATAATGCTCTGCCGGATGGAATATAAACTCCTGAACCCTGCAGTATCGGGCTAAGAAAAACACTATAATATTGCACCCATGCTATGCAATGTAGAACGCACAATCTGGATCCGCCGCAGAGACTCGGCTTAACTAACGGCCTCAGTAAGACCAGTGCCGGCTAGAGCCTTCCCAAGTCGTTTCTGATACGCCAAGAAGGACTCCTTGACCAGCTTCTGCCTCTGAGTTTTCCTCTCCAAACGGGACTGTCCTTGTTTGTGTCTCGCGGTAGCAATATGGGACATGATTATACTCTTCTTCCCTGACAATGCTGTATGGCATGCCAGGCACACAAACTTGCCACAGTCGCTTTTGAGTGGCTCCGCACCCGTGTTTCGGCACTGATGGCCGCTTCAGCGCTCTGTCCATGAGCTACTCGCGTCCTTTTGGAAACATTTTCAGACTTGGTAATAGCTGGTTTCTGAAAAGACCGCTTCCTCGCTATCGCGGCAGGATCTGCAGTTTCCAACTCGACGACGTCACTATCATCAGAGGACTCCGCCAAAAGCTCATCTGGAGAAGGCCCAGCTTCCTCCCAATCCCAAGAACGGCATCGTGGCGAGTCAGCCATCAGCGTTGGCTGCTAGTTAGCTGGTCTTACACAATGGTCAATGTCCGGTGAAAGTCCAGCGTTACTCTTCGACAAAGACATGGACTCTTGCTTCGATGAAAAATGTTTTTTGTAACATTGTGGACGGTAACCGGGTTAGGTCTGGAATGTGTGCGTGTGCGCACCTCCACAGTTCCATGCTGGCTCACATTTGTTTCGTTGGTTCGGCGTTGTGTGCGGTGGTCTATCGCTTGTAGTAATACACCGCGTATAGTAAGTATCTAATATTGACTGAGTACGAGGTCAATATAGGAAATAAAAGCCGAGTAAAAGACCGAGGCGAAGCCGAGGTCTTTTACGAGGTTTTTATTTCCTATACTGACCAAGTACGAAGTCAATATTAGATTTATCACGACAAACAGTCCGTATTTCAAATTCCAAAACGATAACCTCATGAATCCCGGTTTTATGATTGCACAACCGTTGCACCACCACCTACTCATGCAGTGACAATGCTGCACTAGGCACCGTTCAACTGCGCAACCCCTAAGCAGTCAAATATAAGCAGTCAATATAGCCCTAAGGAGTAAAATATGCAGGAATATTTGACTGCTTAGGTATGGCAAAAATGATCTATGTGAGTCAATACTAAGGGAGTGATAATACATTGTAAATGTTGCCAATCAAAGACCAACGCTATAGCCGATACGAATCTGTACATGAGGATGTGTGTAGATCTACCTCTTCACAAGTGCGCCTTGGTCTTCAGCACGTGCCGTGAAGTTGTAGAAGCGCTTCATAGCGTAGTCCGCTGCTTGCAACCCTTCGTACGTTACGGTGCCCGTGGTGGAGTCGACTGCGAAGGACGAACTATCGCCACCGAGAATGCTGTACTGAATGCGCGAGTTGTCACCCTCGTCAGCATCGGTCGCATTCAGCTGGAGAGCGTCTTTCCCGCGGACCTGGCCGTCCAGGATGTTGCCGACGAACGGGCTGGTGACGAAGCGAGGTGAGTTGTCGTTGGTGTCGGACACGACGATGGTGACGTTGACGGACGACGATTGCTGCTTGCCTATCACATCCTGGTCACTGGCGACCACCACTAGGTGATACTCTGCAGTGGTCTCTCGGTCCAGGGTGGTCAACAACTGGAACACACCGGTAACTGGATCAATGGAGAATGCACCGCCGGCATCGTGACCAGGCGCAAAGCTGTACCGCACTACACTGCCATTCCCCGGTCCGTCCGGGTCTACGGCCGAGACAGATAGGATGTTGGTGCTGCCCGGCGATTCGCTCTCCGAAACGGGTGCGAGGTACGACGGCAACAGGAAGCTGGGAGCATTGTCGTTGACGTCCTCGACGATGACCGTTATGCGCACTGTGCTCTGGCGCATAGGGCTACCTCCGTCCTGTGCTGCCAAGTCTAGATGGATTATCGGCGAGTGTTCGTAGTCCAACATGGAGACCAGGACGATACGGCCGGTGGTGCGATTGACAGCGAACTCCCCGTTTGCATTACCGGCGACCAGTGCAAACGTAACCTCAGCGTTACTACCAAAGTCGGTGTCGTTGGCATAGGCATGTGAGAGGATGACTACGCCCGGTGCAGTCGCTTCCGATATCGTCACGTTGAACGGAAGAGGCTCAAATATGGCCGGCGAGTTGTCGTTGGGGTCTCCGACGCGTATCGTCAGGTCGGCCGTGTCGTGGAGGCCGTCCGGATCGGTTGCATTGATGACCAGAGTGAACTGCTGCCGGGCATCCAGCAGAAGACTGCTTTTCACAGTGACCACGCCGGTATCCTGGTTGATAGAAAACTTGCCGGCATCATTTCCTAAACACAACCAACACCGCAACAGCCACAGGTAAAGAAATCAGCAAAGAGGCAAAGTTACTTTGCAAAGTTACTTTGAAGTGCCCTATTTGCAGGAACACTGACGAACATTGATATAAAGTTATGAACATTGATATGAATATTGATAACATTGATATGAACATTGATATGCACAATGATATGAACTATGATGTGAAGTAGCAATGAGCAACTACAGTCCATTCAGAAAAAGATGGACTTCTAGCTTTCGGCCATAAATGGGTCAAATGTTGAGTTTTTTTAGAATTTTTTTCTGCAATCCCCTGTGGAATCCTCTTCCAATTCTGTTTCTGAAGTCTATTTCTCCATAAAGCAAGCCGTAGCAAGAATAGGATTTCGGCCAGGTTTTGCCCCAAGCGCACTGAATTGGGAAAAACCATCAAAATCCAGGCCGTTTGACCCCGCCTGCAACAGTGCATTGTGTGGTTTGAACCCCAGTTCAGGTACCCTTTTTGGACCCTTTTCCAAATTTCAAATTTCGCAGCACTGCACTGTACGATAACATTTTGAAAATCGCCAAATACGGGAGCTCGCCAGAGCCAGGGCCCATCTTTTTGTGAATGGACTGTAAAGGACAGAAGGCGTTTAAAAATCCTTGACCCACCCTGCGTGTGCATGCAACCCCTATCCCCTATCCTCTATCCATATATCCCCTCCACGCACTCCTGTCCAGCATACACTTCCCATGGGCTACGCCAAGTCAGGCTACAACTCACCGCTCGCAATACTGTAGAACACCCGTCCATTGGAGATTGTGTACACGTAGACGATTGTGTCCAGGCCGTTTGCATCCTTTACCGTGCGTTGCTCTCGCGCCACCTGACGAGGGCAATAACACAAGTCGAATGAGCACACATACGCGCGAGCACACACTTAGGGGTCGTCCATAAATATCGAAGATTTTTCACAAAACGAAATAATTTCGTTCGGGGTGGGAGGGGGTTGACCAATTTCGTTTCAGAAAACATTGATACATGTACATGTACATGGCCATAGGAGCAGTGACACACTTGCGACTTTTGCATGTATTATGTCAACATTTTTTACGTTCTGAGAGGAGGGAGGGAGGGGTTGGGTCCAAATTAAAACAATTCGTTTGGTGAAAAAAGTTCGATATTCACGTCCGCCCCTTACGGGATTAGCGATCCCAGTGGTTGTTTTTCTCAGAGCCCCTTTCAGGAGCGGAAAGTTCTATTCAAAATGTCGACAGTTCGCTTGAGACCCACAGACTGTTTCCCCGTCCGCAGGAACACCACCACCCCAGCTCGAGGGCTTTAAAAATCAACGAAGGCTATGCATAGAGAGTGAAACAAGAGCTATAGTGTGGTGGCTCAGTGTTTCATGGACCGGAAAGTACCGTTGATCCGCCCCGCGCCCGCTTCCGAGGTGGATTTTCGGCAGGGGGCGGGAATTCGATCAAGGCTGTCAAGTGCAGTGTGATGTACAACAACGTAGAAGATCAGACTTGATGTGCTGGATTGCGCACATTTTCATCCTGCACTGGCACGTATTGTGTGCAGCAGTGCATGCGTCGGTTCAACATCGTATTTCGTTGTATACGCCAAAGTCGCTTCACTAGCAGAAATTCGACAGGGGGCGGCAATTAGAGAGGGGGCGGATCAATGAAACTTTACGGTTATTGCGATCATCAGACAGCACTAACTACAATGTCCAACGAATGTATTTTTACATGTAGGCTACTGCAGGTGTGGGTGACTTTGCGTGAGTTTTAATACTAGCAATAATCATTATCAACCAAACTCACATGATTCCCAAAGCATGGCACGACCAGCTAGTGCCATGTATGAAGGTCAAGTGCGCAAAAACATCTCGTGCAAGTTCATATTGGTACATATCCTGGTCGATGCAGTGTGTGCAAACTAACTCGGGGCCGAGTTGCTGTGAATATGAAAGTTTTAGAGATTCGATTGGAATACTAGTATGGAATGAAACAATAAAAGCCCCTCTCAAATAGAAGCCTCCTCTAAATTGGCATTGAAGTAATATTGAAATAATAGAAGCCTCCCGCCCCGCCTTCTAACATGTACGCTAAGTAGAAACACATGTAGTCATATTGAGTCATACCGGTGCCAGCTAGAGCCTTCCCAAGTCGTTTCTGATACGCCAAGAAGGACTCCTTGACCAGCTTCTGCCTCTGAATTTCCCTCTCCAAACGGGACTTTCCTTGTTTGTGTCTCGCGGTAGCTATATGGGACATGATTATACTCTTCTTCCCTGACAATGTTGTATGGCATGCCAGGCACACTAATTACTTGCCACAGTCGCTTTTGAGCGGCTCATCTGGGAACTCCCGCACCCGTGTTTCGGCACTGATGGCCACTTCAGTGCTCTGTCCATGAGCTACTCGCGTCCTTTTGGAAACATTTTCAGACTTGGTAACAGGCTAACAGCTGTTTTCTGAAAAGACCGCTTCCTCGCTATCGCGGCAGGATCTGCAGTTTCCAACTCGACGACGTCACTATCATCAGAGGACTCCGCCAAAACTTTATCTGGAGAAAGCCCAGCTTCCTCCCAATCCCAAGAACGGCATCGCGGCGAGTCAGCCATCAGCGTTGGCTGCTAGTTAGCTGGTCCTACACAATGGTCAATGTCCGGTGAAAGTCCAGCATTACTCTTCGACAAAGACATGACTCTTGCTTCGATGAAGAATGTTTTTGTAACATTGTGGACGGTAACCGGGTAAGGTCTGGAATGTGTGCGTTTGCGCACTTCCACCGTTCCATGCTGGCTCACATTTGTTTCGTTGGTTCGGCGCTGTTACCATGGTTACTAGTGACTACACCCAATTTCCAAAACTTGCTCCGATTTTGGTCTCCTTCGATTCTCCCAGGCGTAGTACATAGGAAATCTGTAAGTATTATTCAAATCGGCCCAGCCATTCTTGAGTTATAGTGATTTGAAGTGCGCCAAGTACAGTTGTACTTTTGCTGGAAACATAAATGAATGGGAGTGATGGGAGAATCGAGAACGACCGCACAGTCCGTGCATGCAGTACAGTGTACCATGGTGTACAGTGCACACGCCTCGTCACTCGAACTGCGCGTACGAAATTGCATACTTTGGTATGCTGGCGCAGAACAAATTCGCTCGTAGAGGAAGACGAAAGCGTCTCACCGCCTTGTTATTTCACATGGCCAGTAGTTTTGCGACGCTGAAGATGATGGAATAGTCCGCGACGCTGCGACCCGACCAGAACAAACCGAAATTCATACCCTGAAAAAGCGCTGAGCGCAGAGCTCCTAAATGTTGTCGTATGGAAACGGGACTTCGGGTCTCGAGTCAAGGGCACGAACATCTCCTCTCTCAGATAAAGCAATTCACGCCGAAATGCACTGCCATGTCGGATTCTCCCATCGGCAGTATAGAAACTAACTTACTTGTTTCCAAAAATCAGCGTCTGGGTGCGAGGGAGTAAAGTCACGACTGTTACCTGGATCTACAAAAAGTTAGTTACACTTCGGAGCTTCGGCTTCGAATGTGACAGTGTGTTTGGCCTCATATTGCTCTAGTTTTTCATAAATTTCCAGCGGTTTAAAGATAAAAATGCAAATGCACGCTTGGATTGCACCTAGCACCTCTTGCTTTCTTTGGCCTTTTCTTTCGCTTCTTTGCTGATAGGTTACCTTTTTCCTTTGTCTAGTATCCTTGAGACTTCAGTCTTCTACTGCCGCTATGGCAGTGTCTATTGTCTAATGATGACTCCGAAGCTGAAGCTCGCAGTCCAGGCCTAGGACTAGTAAGAGTTCCTACCGGATCGTCGTGCTGTCCGTGTAGGTAAGTGCTGAAGTAACTAGTTAGTGCCGATATGGAAATTTCGGCCTTTTCGGCGGCCAATGCTGATGGCGACGCTGCGATGGTTCCGTGGGTTTGCAAACACCGACGAGTGCCTTGTTTCATGCCCCGAGTCACGATTTCCCTGTTGGGTCAGGGCGGCCTTCACGAGTTCGGCAGGCTCTTTCGAGTGCCTTGCCAAGGCTCTGCGCTTAGCGCGTAGCAACATCAACAGACGGCTTCCGTCACGTCATTGGGCAGGCCCTGACGAGTGCCTTGCCAATCTCTGTACCTACAAGCAGGGAGTCGTAAAAGCCCGGGAGAGGACACGGGATGCGCGCACGCGGACGATGTTTGCCTCGGCCAGAAAGTGAAGCACGCTAGGCCGGCGCGGCCGGATCTGCTCGATCCACGGCGCTGTGCTTGTCTTCAGGGCAGGGAGTCCTAAAATACCAATATTTTACAACTCGTTGTTGACACCATTATCCGAAACTGGTGGCGAAGGAAGGATAAACATGATTGTATGTCTGTCAGACTCAGTACAGGGGTGGGGAGTTGAGTGTGTGTGTGTGGGGGGGGGGGGGGGGTGTATGTGCACATGTGCTTGTACTTTTGTGTGTGTTTGTACAGTGTTTGTGTGTGTGCTTGTGTGTGTGCGCGCGAACGTGTGTGTGCATTTTTGTGCACAATTCCGTTATGAAGTACAAATGATAGGTTTACCTTTTGTACACTCGCCAAGACTTCCGTTTCCTAAACGGCTCAAGTCACCGCGTACTCAGTATACGAGTAGAAAAGTGTTGAAATTATCAAGATTTATAAATAACGACCTGCAACCATGTACAATGTAGATAGATAGGGAACACACATTGATTGTTTTTAAAAGAATCCAGGCATTATCATGAATCATGGAACGAGTGCGTAATAATGCTCTATGTTGCGTTTTGACGATGCTGAAGGAAGGGAGCCGTCGCGATTTACTCACAACACACGCACAGAAGTCCACTCGACTGCAATTTCTGACACAAATTCATAAATCCACGAGTACGCCGAGGAAGCTCAGCGGATCTCCACAAGAACTTTCGCCCATCACCTGCAATGGAATATGGGCTGTATGATACGACCAGTGGTTAACACGGGAAGTGGCGTCATTTTCCACAAATCTCGTTTCATTCACAACCATTTGACTGCAATTCAGTGCAATTTCTGCCACAAATTCAACTCCACGAGTACGAGGAAACTCAGCGGATCTCAACACGAACGTTGGCCCATCACCTGCAATGGAATATGGGCTGTATGATACGACCAGCGGCTAACACGGGAAGTGGCGTCATTTTCCACAAATCTCGTTTCATTCACAACCATTTGACTGCAATTCAGTGCAATTTCTGCCACAAATTCAACTCCACGAGTACGAGGAAACTCAGCGGATCTCAACACGAACGTTGGCCCATCACCTGCAATGGAATATGGGATGTATGCTACGACCAGCGGCTAACACGGGAAGTGGCGTCATTTTCCACAAATCTCGTTTCATTCACAACCATTTGACTGCAATTCAGTGCAATTTCTGCCACAAATTCAACTCCACGAGTACGAGGAAACTCAGCGGATCTCAACACGAACGTTGGCCCATCACCTGCAATGGAATATGGGCTGTATGATACGACCAGCGGCTAACACGGGAAGTGGCGTCATTTTCCACAAATCTCATTTCGTTCACCCCAACTCAAATAAAAGTGAAGTACAATTAGGGATTTGTCTTGCATTTCCATCGCCTCAGAATAAATTAACTTCGATAAACTGAGAGAGAATGAGTGAGGCAGCTGGAAGATGAGGATGAAAATAGAGATCAGAAGACTCGACGGAGCAATCGTCTCCGTGCTCTAAGAGAAATCGGAGAATGTCCCAATTAGTATTTCAAGAAGACATCACAATTTTCGAAAATAATAATTTCCTTGCCTCGCAACACCGTTCCCTGGCAGCGTTCCCCGGCAGCGCGAGGCAAAGATGTTTTCTGGGAATGTGTGCCGTGTCCTCTCCCGGGCTTTTACGACTCCCTGCCTACAAGTAACTGGTATCCAACCCCATCGATGGACGACGCGGACATGGCGGATATGCGGCGGCTTCTGTCCGGCAGTGGGCAGGCCCTGTCGCGTGTCTTGCCACACTCAAACCATCCGTCCACTGTCGATGGACGACGGTCTCTCCAGTGGGCAGGCCCTGTCGCGTGCCTTGCCACACTCTAGCCATCCATTCACTGTCGATGGACGATGGTCACACCACTGGGCAGGCCCTGTCGTGTGCCTTGCCGCACTCTAACCATACGTCAACTGTCCATGGACGATAGTCTACAGTGAGCAGGCCCTGTCGCGTGCCTTGCCACACTCTAGCCACTCTAACCATCCATCCACTGCGGATGGATGATGGTCGAACCAGTGGGCAGGCCCTGTCGCGTGCCTTGCTACACTCTTACCATCCGTCCACTGTCGATGGACGACGGTCTTTACAGTGGGGAGGCCCTGCCGCGTGCCTTGCCGCACGCTAACCACTCTATCCATCCATCCACTATCCATGGACGATGGTCTCGTGGGTTTGCAAGCACCAGCGAGTGCTTTGTTTCTTGCCCTGAGTCGTGTCTTCCTTGTGTGGTCAGGGCAATTTCATGAAAAGCAGGAGTGCCTTTCCAATGTCTGTGCCCAACTCGCATCCACCCATGTCGGTGGACTGTGCGGTCATTGTAGATATGGTGGCTTCCGTCACGCCAGTGGGCAGGCCCCGTCGGGGGGGGGCTTCATTAGTCCATTGGTGATGAACGATGGTCTCGTGGCTTTGCAAGCACCGGCGAGTGCTTTGTTTCATGCCCAGAGTCACGCCCATAACTTAATGCCGTTCTGCCATGCTCATATTGGCAAGAACAGTTCTACCTGTGTTTGCTTGCTCCTATACCAAGCAGAATGCCGTATTGACCAGGAAATGTTCCTGCACCAAAGGGCTGTGGATCGAACGTGCATCCCTGTGTCTAGCGGAATAATGTTATATCAGACCAGTTTCCGCTGCACCACGGGCGTCCGGTTAAAGGGGCACTCCGGCTTCATTTTCGACGCCGAGTTCCAAGACGAAGGTTGGTGAAAGAGAAGACCTCTCGAACAAGAACGAGTCTCCAGAAGCGATCGAGTCGAGCAGGAAGACGACTTTTGAATTTCGCCGAGCGAGCGCTGATGACGTAATGAGGGATTAGCTTGCCAGTGGAAATGCATCTGCGCACATACATATCACATACTTTTTGGCCAATTTTCAATCGAAGAGGAGTTTGTTTTCTAAGTTCTCTAAACGTCGTGAGCGATCCCGTCTTCTATACCCTTCCAGGTACCCTGAAGGTCCTCCAGAGGAGAATTTATCTCCGGCAAAGCGTTGTTGATCCGCTAAATTCGTCTCGAGACATATTCACCCAGTGCAGGGCTGATAAATGTAGAATATTGAATCTGTGATAATTGTCGACGATGGAGAGAGAGGTTGATAGCCGCTGTCGCAGGGAAAGTGAAGCTGCTGGAAGTAACGACGGGGAGCTTGTTAGCATCACATGAGCATCCAGGCTTCAAAGTAGCTTGACGGAATCGGGGAGCACTGACTATTTGTTTCGCCCTCAGTTTAGTGGATTTTATGACCAGAAATTAGTCGATCGGGATCCTTTCTACAAGATGTGTAGTGTAGTACAGGTGATTTCTGAACTTGATGATATGGAGACGGACCAGTAGACCTACCAACAATGTGTACCTGCAGGAAATTCACCCAAGGCTATTGCTATCCTCTTCAGTGGCTGTTGTTTTTTAGTAAAAATATGTTCACTTCTCTCAACATACTCCTGCATGGCAGCAAAAAGGTGCGCTATGGAATTCAACGCCACAATCTTCGCACAGCTGTGGATGAAGCATGGTCAAGTCATGGCAGTACATATACTTGAAACAGATGAGAAATTGAAGTTCATTTGTGATGGGAAGTTTGACAGCCCCAGTGACCGAGTCAAGCGTTGTCTTTTGCCGTGGCACAAATTGCTGAAGAATCCGAGATGGTCTTGGAATTATGCACATGGATACTACCAGAAATAATGGTGGCATGAACCATTGTGGAATGGGACAGCTCACGGAGAATACTGGAATAGCTCAAGTATCTCTAGGTGATTGTAAATCCTGTTCTGGCTGATAGCTTCGGCCTGCTGCGCCCGTCCATGTACAATGAATGCATTTCTGTTTTCTACATATTTGCCGGCTACTATACTGTGGTATTACAGTTGCAGATCCCTTCTATAGAAATATGTATATAATTATAGCACTGGATTGTTGAGATTATGAGCACATTCCAATCAGCACTCTACATATTTATAAGCGGTGGCAATCGTTAGGAATAGGTCGGGAGTTGTCAGAGTGCTTTAGTATTATGAGAGAATGTTTTGTTTGTCTTATCGACGGCTCGTTTGAAGCCAGAGTTGTTTGAACTTGTTTCAGTCGACTTGATTCTAGACAGTAGTCGAAGGAGTACTATGAAGTATACACCAGACGTAGTCCGTAAGGATCTCGTGAGAATTCTGTCGGTACACATCAGGTATCAGCTTGCAAAGATGGCTCCTCTCTGTTTCTTGAAAGCCTGTCTAGTTGGACTGTGGCTCCAGCGATTCCCTTCTCAGAGACGGTCAATGCATATTAGACAGACCTGTGTGCACAGCAGAAATAGTGGAGAGAAATCTCTCAGCTCATAAACACATCAGTGAAGTTTGAACTGCCGTTGTTTGTGGCCATCAGTATAAACCTATCGACTATAAGAATAATGTGCAAAAAACCTCTATAACTACAGCTAGGGCCATGGAATTATAAAGTTTAACTCAGGGAACTGCCAATTCTGGTCCGAGTTGCATTCGAGGCCTGCAATTCATGATGGCTATCGTATGTTGCATTGACCAGAGATTATAAAACTTCCAAATGCCACATTGAAACACGCACCACTTTCGAGTACTTTGGTATCCCCACCAAATGGGCATTCGTTCCCGGGGTGACAGGCGTCACCATTCGTTGTGCCTGGATCAGATTTCATTGACCCCAACTGTCATGAAGAATTATTTTTACTTTGACTAGATTTCAGTACAAGTTGTAGAACTGCAGAATCAATTTTGTTGTATTTGGGCAACCATTTCTCTACAAACGCTCTATTTGGAAAAGTTATAAAATGCATATCCAAATTCCACATCTACCCAAATCGGAATACTTGATCACGTATTCAGTACTGCACGGAACGTTTAGAAAACACCAGGGAATAGGAATTTGCTAACGAGAACTCCAGGCCAGGGTACTAGCATACGAACAAAACAAGATAAAAACTCACCAGTATACTTGTAATTGTAGTAATTCATGTCGGTGTAATATTCACGATAAGCAACGAGGCACCCTCCGATTTGGTCAAGCTGCTTTGAAGTCTGGTTGTTCAGGTGATACAAACGGGCTCCCCGTTGTTACTTCCAGCAGCTTCATTCTCCCTGCGACAGCGGCTATCAGCCTCTCTCTCTCCATTGTCGACAATTATCACAGATTCAACATTCTACATTGATCAGCACTGCACTGGGTGAATATGTCTCGAGACGAATTTAGTGGATCAACAACGCTTTGCTGGAGATAAATTCTCCTCTGGAGAACCTTCAGGGTACCTGGAAGGGTATAGAAGACGGGATCGCTCACGACGTTGAAAGAACATAGCAAACAACCTCCTCTTCTGAGTCTTCGATTGAAAATTGGCCAAAAAGTGTGTGAAATGTATATGCGCAGGTGCATTTCCACTGGCAAGCTAATCCCTCATTACTTCATCACCGCTCGCTCAGCGAAATTCAAAAGTCGTCTTCCTGCTCGACTCGATCGCTTCTGGAGACTCGTTCTTGTTCGAGGGGTCTTCTCTTTCACCAACCTTCGTCTTGGCATCGAAAACTCGGCGTCGAAAATGAAGCCGGAGTGCCCCTATAACTTCCCATTTAACACTGCGAAAGTCAGACTCATTTCACAATAAATTATTCCAACGTTTCGAAAATAATGAACTGTTTGCCAATTTTAAAATACTGACACTAATAAAATAATTATTATTAGTAATGACAGTACTTACTTCGTCCGGATCCGACGCGTTGGCTTGAAAGATGAAATCACCCACGGCTGCATCTTCCAGCACGACCACGCTCGACAGTCGCATGCTGAACTTCGGCGAATTGTCATTCACATCTCTCAAGCTCACCTGCACGCTGTGGGTCTTCGAGTCCCCGGCGGTGTTTCGAGCACGAAGCGTGCATTTGTAGACCGTTCTCGTCTCTCTATCCAAGCGTTCGGATGTCATCTGCAGCTCGCCATTCTGCAGAACATTGAAATACTTGTAGTCGTCAACTTGATCAACGGACAAAGTTACTGGCCGTGCCAGGGTGTCCCTCGTTGAATACGTTGCCACCAGGGAACCGCTAGGGAGCTCCTCGTTGATGGTGACCTGCTGTGGGCCGCTGAACAGGATTTGGCCAACACAACATGTCGTGCTTAGGCCCAGGACTAAGCTGACCGCGATGACTGTCGCTCCTGCTACGGTCATGACTTGCTGGGAGCGATGGGCGAAGACAAGCTACAACCTGTGTGGTGCGCGTGCACGCACACACACACACACACACACACACACACACACACACACACACACACGCACGCACCACACACACACACACACACACACACACACACACACACACACACACACGCTCGCACACGCACACACACACACACACGGAGAAGAAAAACACAGACCATGAACTATGATGAAGATCAAGACAAGAAGGGGTGTGAACGGATCAGCTGGGGCTGATACACCAGTAATCACCATAGTCCATCGGCCAAGTCTCAAAATCGAAAGTGGTGATGCACTGAGCTTCCAAGTAAACGCGACCATACCCAGCACGAAGTTGAAGACACCACTGCAGCTGTACTTATGGTTGATTAAGTTAATATGGTGGTAAAAACACACCTGGCAATATGGCGGTAAACACACGCCTGCCCACACACGCTCTCTAGGCTGCAAAGTTCTGGCACAGAGCTCTCCTTCTCACCACCACCACCATCAGTTCGCGCCTGGCGCCTGGTCGATGCATGGCTGGCGATATCCGGCATAGCAGGCTGGTACATCAAGTAGCGCATGGCACATAGATGATGACACAGCAACGACATAGCTCGATTGCGACGTACGTTTCGTCCCCGCTGGACTCATCAGGCAATCTTCTTCTTGGATGTCTTCATACGGAGCTTGACTCGGGAGAATGAAGTTGAAGACACCACTGCAGCTGTACTTATCGTTGATGAATATGGTGGTAAAGACACACCTGGCAATATGGCGGTAAACACACGCCTGCCCACACACGCTCTCTAGGCTGCAAAGTTCTGGCACAGAGCTCTCCTTCTCACCACCACCACCATCAGTTCGCGCCTGGCGGATACCGCCAGCCATGCATCGACCAGGCGCCAGGCGCGAACTGATGGTGGTGGTGGTGAGAAGGAGAGCTCTGTGCCAGAACTTTGCAGCCTAGAGAGCGTGTGTGGGCAGGCGTGTGTTTACCGCCATATTGCCAGGTGTGTCTTTACCACCATATTAACTTAATCAACCATAAGTACAGCTGCAGTGGTGTCTTCAACTTCATTCTCCCGAGTCAAGCTCCATATGAAGACATCCAAGAAGAAGATTGCCTGATGAGTCCAGCGGGGACGAAACGTACGTCGCAATCGAGCTATGTCGTTGCTGTGTCATCATCTATGTGCCATGCGCTACTTGATGTACCAGCCTGCTATGCCGGATATCGCCAGCCATGCATCGACCAGGCGCCAGGCGCGAACTGATGGTGGTGGTGGTGAGAAGGAGAGCTCTGTGCCAGAACTTTGCAGCCTAGAGAGCGTGTGTGGGCAGGCGTGTGTTTACCGCCATATTGCCAGGTGTGTTTTTACCACCATATTAATCGACCATACCCAGCACGTAGAGTATTATAATCAGAGAACACTATTCCGTTTGTTGGACGTGCCGAATTCAGTCCAGGGCGTCGATACGAAGCGTTCTTCGTCGCCGAGTTTTTTACTGGGCGCTCCATTTGAGAGTGCGCAGAGTTCCGATCCAGAATTTTTTGAGCAGATATTCAAATTTTTGAGGCTGTCAGCTGACAGCTGTCAACCCTAAAATATGGCACTTAGTATGTGACAGGCAATAGGTTTTGGTGCCTCCGTATATGCCTTCTATCTTCCTTCGTTTCACTTCGCTGCTTGGCCCACCACCTCAGGAGATGACAGCGTACCTGTACTAGTCAGCTCTCGCTAACCCTGTCTCTCTTTCTCCGTCTTAGCGCTCGTCATTCGTGTCCTTCTGCTGGGGCGAGCTTGATACTGTTGTGTCGTAGTTTTTAGGCAATAGTGGCTGTTGTTCGCGTGACGATCAGGATTTATGGAGAAAGACGACGACTCGCCAAGTTCCCATGCAGCCACAGACGGCGTAGCAATTCCTTACCGCCAACCCTTCGAGCAACGGAACCGGCCTGTGTTAGAAATCGTGTCTGTGTAATTGTGCCACGATACGGATGAAACACACAGGCTCACATGTGACGAGATGAAGATAATCTCAACAGGCTGACGGAAATGCAACAGGCTCACGGGAACGCTGCAGTTGTGGTCGGAGACGCGGAGTTATTTAGTCACTGGTAAATGTTGCATCGAGTGCTGTGTGCTCTAACACAATTGTAAAAATCATGAAAAAGCGAAAATAATGCAATGGTGGGGCTGAATGGTGTTCTGTGGAGGAGACGTCGCTGTCTCAGTATTCAACGCCGGACCCTGTATTCCAAGTCTGTGGTCATGCTCGATCATAAGTTCCTGTATGGCTCCAGTTGTAACCGTTTGAAGGTATTCTTGGAAAAGACAATGCTTGCTCAAGGCAACACAACTGATATAGGGCACTTCGTGCCCTAAGGTGATAACGCGAGTGCTGACAGGATAGGGAAAGGTGCAAGATACAGAGCTAGAGGGCAGATAAGGTTAGCGCTAACAGGGAACTGTTACACCATCCCTCCCTCCTAAGCGAGGCACAGGTGCCTCCAGGGAGTCGAGGAATATGTGGAAAGGGAATAATCAAAATGAAATCGTGTCAACCCAATAACGCTCATCTAATTGAAGCACCGTGCAAGGTAACCAAGGACAGTCAGGCGAGTGAAGATAACGGAAATGGGGAAAATCTAAAACAGGAGGGGAACGGATTGCTTAACACAACAAGGATCAAGTGGGAATTCTCAAGGTACACGTGCAATTGAATTTGAGCGAGTAACATTTCGCGGTAACCATAGTGTCACTAACATGCCCTGGACGCCCTGTAACGCCTCAGAGCAACTATCGGCCTACCGGCCTCGTCCAGCAAGTTCCCTTCTGGCTCCCAGGTGGCTTCGTCGTCTGGGTACCCTTGCCACTTGACAAGGTACTGAGTCTGATGCCTTCGATGGCGATCGTCAAGAATCTTCTCCACCATGTATCTGGTCTGACCGTGCAAGTCAGTGAACGGTGGCGGGGGTGGCTGCCGCCTGCCGGGAATAGTATTCTGCTCATACCGGCGAAGAGCAGTGACATTGAAGACAGGGTGGCACCGAATAGCGCTGGGTAGATCCAGCTGATAGGCGTTGGGTCCGATCTTCTTGATGATTGGGTAGGGCCCGAACCACTTAGGGCGTAGCTTCTGTGAAGGCTGATCCCGGGCTTCTGCGGTTGTTAGGAAATCCTTGTACACCAGCACCATGTCGCCAACCTTCAGGTTGCTGGGCACCCTTCCCCTGTCTGCATACTGAGCTTGTCTAGCCTGAGCGGCAATCATGGCGTCCTTTGCCAACTTGACGGCATCCGCCCGATCCTGGATCCAGTCTGGGGCACTCCCTCCTCCCCTCCGTGCCAGGAAATCTGGTGGGGACTTGGGATTAAGTCCATAATTTAGATAAAACGGCGTGCTAGAAGTGGAAGACTGATATGAACTATTAATTGCAAATTCGCAAAGAGGCAGAAGCTTGTCCCAATTATCTTGTTTGTGGTTAACAAACGCTCTAAGCACATCCTCAATTACTCTATTCATTCTCTCAGTCTGCCCATCGGTCTGTGGGTGATTGGCAGTACTAAACGAAAAAGTGGTACCTAATTGATGAAACAATTCCCGGAAAATTCAGAAGTAAATCTTGGGTCCCGATCACAAACAATAGTGGAACTCAAACCGTGTAATCTAAACACATTCTGGAGATACAAATCAGCAGAACCCTTAGCGTCAATTTTGGAAGTCGTGGGGACTAAATCACCATTTTGTAAGCCGGTCAACAAATGTATAAATTGCATCAAAGCCCTGAGGGGTCTGGGGTAAGCCAACGATAAAGTCCATGGAAATATCTTTCCAGGGGGTGTCTGGTACTGGGAGCGATTGCAGCAAACCGGATCTAGGCAACCCACCCTTAGTGCGCTGACATATGCCTCAAGACTTAACAAATTTCTTCACGTCAAGGCCCATCTTGGGCCAATAGAAGAATTGACGAAGCCGGAAATATGTACGATCGCGTCCCTGATGGCCTGCCGTAACACAGTCGTGGTACTCCTGCAGGAGCTGAAGCCTTACTGCACACTTGGGTACACACAAGCGATTGTTTGGTGCTGCACGGAGGTATAGGTACCTGGACTCTTCATCCCAATAGTACCGCTCGTGTAGATTATCAGAGGAATCGCCGCGCAGCCGCTGAATTATTGGGGAAAGCTGCTCGTCATTCTGATATGCTTCCGAAATCATCTCAGCAACCCTATCACTCAGTTCCAAAGCAAACTCAATCGTATTCAAATGGGGTGCTGGTAGGATGGGTGGGCAATCCTTTTCCCCAACTACATTGCCAATTGCTGACCCGCGCAGATCAGGGCGGCGGGATAACGCATCAGCCATATTTTCCTTGCCGGGTTTGTGATCAACTGTGAAGTCATAGTCTGCAAGAAATTCAACCCATCTAGCTTCGCGCTTAGTGAGATTGGCTTTTGTGCTCAAGTAGACTACGGCCATGCTGTCACTGAACACTTCAAAATGCTGGAATAGATAAATTCTCCAGGATCGCAGTGCAAACACCACCGCCAGGGTTTCGCGTTCTGCAGCAGTGTAATTTCGCTCCGCTTGTGACAGCTTACGACTGGCATATGCCACAGGATGCCAAGCACCATCGCTTTCCCCCTGTTGGAGAAGGACGCCTGCTATTGCAAAATCACTTGCGTCTGTTGCAACTCTGAAAGGCTTCTGCACGTTTGCTAGTTTCAACAGCGGTGCACTCAACAAGGCCTGTCTCAGGGATTCGAATGCATGCTGACGGGGGCCACTCCATTCGAACCTGGCATGTTTGCCAGTGATCTCCTCTAATGGCCGCGATATAGTAGAGTAGTGCTCAATAAATCTTCTAAAGTAGTTCGCAAAACCAAGGAACTGTCTCACCTCCGTAACTGTCGTCGGTGGCTGCCATTCCCTCACTGCTTTAAGCTTCTTTGGATCTGGAGCGATACATTCACCGTCGATGCGATGCCCTAGAAACAGAACATCCTTGACACCAAACTC